TAAAAAGCACTAAGAGGAAGTTTTGACAGCAAGGGTGTGATCCAARTATGAATAGTTTTGCTCTCAGTTAATAAGTAGTGATGTATGTTCGTTTTTAAGTGTCTCTATATCTTGTTATGTTACTGTTAGGTAGTTTGGAGATCAGAGAGTGTAAGGCCCCCCGTTTAGAAAATGGTGTGCTTTGCCCTGAATGTTTAATCCACTCAGGCCTACTCTGCACAGTAAGCAGTGCAGAAAGCAGCATGTATTTGCTTTGAGGAGCTTCAAGACTATCAAAAGGGGGCACAGAATGATTTTTTGCAGATCTATAGGCAGTTTGTTGTTGTTGTAATTGGACATTTAGAAGGAGATGGATATGTAGAGTAGGAATGGTGCAGAAACTGAAAATGGCTTTTAGTCAGTGCTGTCATGTGAAACAGTGCATGCAGATATCTGCTGATTCCAATTGGAGTGCAATCTTTCCGTGCACTTTAATCTCTGAAACTTCTGCTGAGGCTGGAAGCAGAGTAGCTGGAGGCATTGGCAGGACTGTGTCACAGACTGAAGCTGTTGAATTTGTATGATGTGCCACACCTTCAGCACTGTTGTGCAAATCATGTAATTATGAAAAGTACTCTGGAACAGCTCAGATGTGGTATTTCTCAACAACTTTTCATAGACTCATCAAACCACAGGGAGTCCTGCCTCACCTAAGTGAGATTGCAATCTTCTAAGCACACCTGTGGAAGTCTGGAAAGGTTTTCCAACTTTTTTTTTTTTTTTTTTTTTTTTCCTGGGTGGTTGTGGATTCATTAATTTGTCTCACTGGGCTCATTGGTTGTTCAATGTAGAATTTGAAGTTCTGTCTTTAGAAGAGCAACTGCAGACTGGTAGGATTGTGTCTGCTGAAATAGAGATTGTGTGATTTTTGKTTTTTTTAAAGGGGAATTGCACTTGTGAAGGATGCTTAGAACTTGCTTTTCAGATCACTGTCATCGAATACTTCTTTTCCCTCCATTAAATAGCACAGTTTTGTTAGGTATTGAAGAACAATTCTGGCTGTAGACTGGTATTTTGTGCAAAAGCTGGATATATGTTCCTGGCATCTGTTTCTTGTATTCTGATTTCTGTTGTGTAAGAGTTGTAATTGCACCAGTGGTCAAAAACATACRTTGTGGCATTTGGAAATGATGCTGGGAATATAAAAGACAGGAGAGCAAGAACGAGGAAGCTGTTTGAGGCCTAGTGAACAGTAATTATGGTGAAAATCCACATGCTGAGTTAAGGACATTTTTTTGTATATTTAAAGTAAGTTCCTAAAATATTTGGTAAATTCAGTCTCTTCAGAATAACCCCAAGTATCCCTGAATGCTTTATTTATGTTTGAGACCATGTGTTTTGGGCTGAGTAGAACTTTCAAGAACCTGACTGCACTGGGTCAGGCTGCTATTGATGTTTTTTTTTTTTTGTTTGCTGCCTCCCTGCCCACCCCCCATCAGGTTTTGTTTTCTCAGTTAAATTAGTCACGCTGTTCTGCTTTCACTGGCTAGGTAACGCCATTCTGCCACAGTGTGATTTTTGGCTTTGGACTGTTGCAGTCAGTGCCAAAACAAGTATAATGTAAAAGCTCAGGTACAGACTTTAATCCTCTTGGCTTTCCTTTTCATCCCAACTGCTTCTTAGTGTTTCTTCTCCATCTCCATAAGTATTTGTGACTCTGTTTGCTTTTCCAGTTTTATTACTAGAGGTCCTGATTTCTTGTATTTTTCTGTGATTGCTGTAATATAGGAGGAGRGAAAACTTGCTGAAACTGGAGAGGGGTAGGTGGGACCTTATTCCTAAGAAAAATTCTGTTTAGTTCTTTGTGTGTAAACTCAGGGTGAGCTCATGGACAGTGTGGACCTAATGCTCTGTATTGTATGTGTATTACTTGTGATGCTACATCTGGAAAGTGAATTTGGCCTGGAAATAGCCAGATTTATTCTGAAATTTAAATGACAAAATAAGTATGTAAAAAAAAATTACTCCTTTTAATTCAGTCACTTTAATTTCAGAGTTGGGTAGTCTTTCACCTTTTCTTCTCTGGGTCACTGCAGTGTAGGAATGCTTGTTAGTAACTGCTGTATAGGTTGTTACATCTCCTTAGTTTCATTTTCTGGCTGTTGTTTTACATAAAGCTTATTAGATTTGSGTTTTTTTAGACTCAGTCTTGTTTTCCTTAATTTTTTTTCTGTTTGAATTGGTTACTGATGTGTGAGCTGACCATGGGGTCGATGGTTATCTTGGCCTGTAGGATAGAGTACTGTGCTTTGGGACCAGTTCTGTTACAAGATACACATTTATTGAGATATGAGACCAGAATTGAGACTTTTATCCTAAGATAGCTGTAGAATTCCTTTTAATTGCAAAAAATGGGAGGGGGTTCTTTGTTTTCAAATGTTTAGTATCTTTTAAAAGTCAGTAAACTTAAATTGGCGGTGATTAGTATTTTGTGGATTTTATTTTCAACATTTTGTTCATACTCAACAAAATCATAATCCATCACAAAATTTGAAYGTTAGCTGGSGGAAGARATGCTTCAGAGGAAAGAAGTAGACATTTAATACATTGCCTTTGAGAAACTGGATCTAATCTTCATGATTAGATTCATGATGATTTTGAAGATAAACTTTGAAGGACAAACTTCCATTCTGACTGTTCTAAAGTATCCAGTGTTTTGAAATGACTCTTGAAAGTGTACCACATGAGACAGGATAGTCTGAGGCATTGTGGAAGCAGGATGAGACGCTCATGTGTGCATGGCAGACTCTTGATTTACCACAGATTAGGGTAAATCTCATTACAGCTGGTTTCAGTGTCAGCAGGATGATTTTCACCTGCTTTTTCCCAAGCTCTTCAGGGTATTCAGGTGTTAAACAATATCAGTAGTGTTATGCTTTCTTTGTCTGATCGTGCCAGGGTGCTGAGGCTGGCAGACCTAGACTCATTAATTGTTTTTTTTTGTCACGTGTGTGTCTGAGGTTGGCAGAATKAAAGTTTCAGACCCAGTGTTTGGAATGAAATGAAGCTTTGAGCCATTTATTTGATCAGTGCCACTCACTTCATTTAGTAACCTGTCCATGCGTTTGCTTTCTGTTTTAACAAACATTCATTGCCTAAAAAGCTGTTAAAAGCCATTAATTAAAATAAGCCATGGAGGTTAGAAAGTGGAGTTTAATAAAAAATTTGGATCTGAAAACTAGTTAAGGTTGTTCCAATTTATACTTCGATATTGTTGGATGAAACAGATTTTATTGTAGAGTGGAGTTATGTAAATTACTTTATGGTGCAATGGTTCCCTTGTTATGGGTAGTGTAAGATTTTGTCCTTAAAAATTCTTTTCCTTGATTATAAGAGGGTGTGTTAAATGGTAGTTGACATGATGAGTACACTTACCATTTAGCAGTCTCATCTGCTATGTCAAAGCAGTCCTCCATTCCCCTTTGGAATATCTTGCATAATTCTGGATCTTGTAAACGTGGTTTGAGATTTCTATGACAGATTTTGTTACCCATGTGAATCTAATCCCAATACCCGCAGGCAGCCTGGCAGAACAAGGTAGTGATTCTGGAAGTTGGCCTGTCCCTGCTAGTGCAAGCAGGCAGCTTTTTATCTATGAARCAAGGTGATACTCTCAGGTTTGGTGATGGCGTTTGAAGGTTCTTATCAAACAGGGAAATACTGATTTTTCATGGTAATTCATAGATGGGAATGTGAGCATCTGCTTGTCTRTGTCAAAATAAGTACATTTTCTCCATTCTCAAAATAGCCTTGCGTCTTTTAGGGTTTTTTTTTTGGTTTTACTCTTTGGTTCATGTTTTTGATTTGGTAATGTTTTTGTCCACCAAGCATTTATTTCTTATYTTGGTCACAAGGATGGTTTAATGTATCTTTTGCTGGTATTGAGGAAGTAGGAATCTAATAGTAGTGACTAAAACCAAGCAGATTAAATTACTAGGTTATGTAAAGAAAGCAAGAAGACTTCTTTTTGTCTTTCCCTTCTTTTCTCAGCTTGAATATTTTGAATTGCTRTTGATTGCTTACTTACTCAAAACGACATTTCACTGTTGGCTTTGCTGTGTTTTTTCTGGCTGCCGTCTGAAAAAGAGCATTTGTGTCTCTCACTCTAACATAAAGATAGAATAATAAGTTGTTTTTTTTGTGGCATGGTACTACAACACTGAGGAACAATATCTATTTCTTCTGTGAGARCTAAAAGCATTCAATTTTAAAATATATGTATTTAAATTTGGATGCTAMTTAGTTATCAAAGCAACTAAACAACTAAAAATGTTTTTAGAGTGTGAAGGAGAAATAGAGGCAATAATTTTGTCAAAATGCTTTTGGCCATGCCTTTCATTAAAATCAGACTGCCTTTGATGTTTTACCTTTTTTTTTTTTTTTTTTTTTTTTTTTTTTTTTTTTTTTTTTTTTTTTTTTTTTTTTTTTTTTTTAAATAATAATGCCTATTTTTCAATATGCTCTCAGGTAGGATGTGATTTTTGTGGTATGTGCAGGACTATCACCTGCTGACAATGTCTGTGTTGATCTAAAGTTTGACTTGACGTGCAGAGAGATTAAATTACAGAAGAAATGGCAGCAGTATGTCTGGGTGTGATTGGCAGTGCTTCTTTCTTTCCCTTCCTCCCTCACCCAGAGCAGCAGCACAGCGAGCTCGGGGTGTCTCTGCAGTGCTGTTCTGAGTGACCTGACTTTGGTTTGGCACCTCCTCCCCGCAGTTTGYTCAGCCACTTCCTGGGGAACTGTTTATACTGCTTAGGAGGTTTTCCTGACGTCCCTGTCTGCTTTTCTAWCACTGCACTSAGAATACAGGCAAATAAAACCCGCKGCATTTGTGTAACGTCCCCGTTTCTCAGTGTGGAATTTCCATTGCTTMATCTGAATGCCGAACTGAAGCCAATGTGGTTCAGTGGAGGGGAGGGGAATTCCATGCAGATGAAGCTGATCACGTTGTTCTGTGACATTCTTCAGCATTAGGAATGTGTTGGGCACTTCAGTGGCCTACTTATTCTGTGAAAAGTTGTTCACCTACCCGTGTTTTATATTCTTACTCAGTTGTTTTTTAGTATATTTAAATTATAGATGATTTTTCACTGTAAATGGGAATGGTTCACTGTAACCATGTGTGAAATTTCTTTTATGAGACTGAGCAATGCTTTTATTTAGCACAAGGAGGAGGAAACCACTTGCACAGGTATGCATGAGCACAAATAATAGTTCACAAACTATCTAAATGACTTGCCTTCTCACTAGAAACCTGATCTTTCTGATTTTGGTGAAGAAAATAACTTGAGGTTGGAACAAATAACTTGAGGTTTTTTCCATAGCTGTAAGTGAGGGTTATTTGTTTCTTTCTTTCTTTAAATGTTCGTTGGAGTCTTATTTGAATTTTCTTACATTTGAATGTGATTTGAGTCAGGCTAAGACTTGATATTATTGAGACTTTTATTCATTGTGAAAGAAGRATTTAACATTTTTGTATGTTTAGTTATGCTTACCAGGAGACTTGCTTCTTTGTAAATTCTCTTGCTTTGATATAAAAGTAATTGCAATTTCATATTTTCTTAACTTTTTCTCTAGTTATGTGTATGCTAGCTCATTTTAAAACAAAGTATTTAAATGGTATACTTAAAAAATCTTTTCCCCTTCTGTCTAGTTTCATTTTTAGTAGAATGCTGTTTTTCTAAAATATGCAATAAAGATGTCTAAAGGATGAAACCTATGCAAAATATTGTTAAATAGAGTAAGAGTTAGTTTTGAACAAATTCAGTGTACTTATGAACTTCTTTTAATGGGGCTGAGGGTAGGCTAGAGAGAAAAACTTTTTGAAATGAAGTTTGGAAGCAAGTGGGAGCAAGTTTAAAACCTAGACACTGAAACCAGCTGGCTTTTGAGTGTGGACCATGTCTCTAGTTTTCAAAGCCTGTACTGTTACTTTTTCCTGCGTCCTTTATTTAGAATGGAGCTCTCATCTGCTCAGTGTTTTAGAAAATTACAAGTTACTGTTGTRACTTTTCCTTCCTTATTCAGTCACCTGCCTTTCATTACAGTTACTCACCTGGAATTGACTGGCTTTCTTAAAATGTGGAGCAGATGCTTTTCCCAATGCATATACTCTTTAAATATTCCCCAACACATSAGAAAAACCCACAGTCAATAACCATTTGTTGTTAGACAGACATTTAACTCTGTCTTAMGTTCTAAAAACCGTTCCTAGATTATAAGACAATGTTAGTACTCTTACTGYACTTCTGTGTATGTTAAGGCCTGCCCTGTCTTTTCAGTGCTTTTGATTCCTCCTGAATGTAAACATACAGTAGGGTCAGGTAATAATAAAGCTTGTGTGTACACTTGAAGGAACTGCCTTTTTAAATAYAAAAATGAATGTCAGAAGCTGGGAATCTGATTAGTTGTGTTAGTATGTGTTTACTTAGTACTAAGTAACTTACATTGCCTCTTACGGATTTTTACATGCTGCTGGGAAAAATACTGATGTGCCTTGGAGGATATCTATATTCTTTAAGGCTTCTTTGTTTCTTGTAATGAAGTGTTTTATCAATGCCAGTGTCTGATTCTGCACGTACTCAATCGTGACTGATGTTCTGTGATGAGGTAGACTGGTAATTTTTGCCTTGAGATGCTGTTTGATTGTATAYGCTGGTTTACAACTGAGTTTGTGCACCAGAAGGAAGTAATGGCTCTGTAATGCTGTGATTTGGTCAGTTCAACTTGGTGGAAAATCCTTGGTTGCAGTCCAATTTTAACAGCTGAGTGTTTCATRTGGTGGATTTTGAATGTAGAGTGTGTGAATATTCCTTACTGTGGAGCCTGCAGCCTGAGTGAAAGCTGTGACTGCTAGGCTGGGTGAAAGTTTGACTCTCTCTCATGCTTTGTCTCACTGTTCTTCCGAAGAAGTACTTACCAAAAGGAATTGTCAGTGTTCCCTCAGCATTTAGGAGCAGTCTGTAAAGAAGGTCTTACAGGCGTGAGAGTTGTTTGCATTATACTTGAGATGTTCACATCTTAAATGAATAGGGATTTTGTGGAGAAAACTCTTCTGCTGATTTATTCAGTCTTTGAAGAGATTTGTGCCTGCATCCAGTGGGAGTTCCAAAGCTGTAAATTCCAGTAGTGGGCAGARCCTTTTTGCAGCTCTAGCCGGTGARCCCAGAGGAGGGACCACATCSAATGTGTTTGTCTCCTTGATGTTCCTCATAGGTTAGTAACTTGAGTATTTCCCTACTTTAAGAATATAGTTTTTATAGATGGCTCTCAGACATCTGATACCAGTTGTATATTGTATGTGGGAAGTTTTATGTGCTTAATTCAGAGCTGTTTTGGCAAATCACCTTACAAGTTTTGTGTAGAGTAATGGGTTTTGGGATATCCTGCCTTTGCCTTCAGTTAAAATGGTTTAAAGGCATAAGGTGTATGGGCTGGTAGGCTCAGTTCTGATCTATGCTGATAAATTTAACTTTCTTTTGGTAAATTACTTAATCTCTTGTCCTCATCTGTAAAATGGAAATGAGCTTTCTGAGAAATTCTCTGAATCCTGTGACTGAAAATCTTCGCATTTGAAATGCTATTACTAAAGGGGTTTTTATAAATTTGATTAAATACTTGTGCAGAATTTTGTATTCTTACCAGGATTTTTGCTTGCAGATTTCTGTCATCTTTGCTTCCAGATTTTTGGGAAAGGAAGCTTTCAGTCTGATTCCTCAGGCCTGATGTGTCACAGAAAGAAGGATCATGTTTTACAAGGAGGGGGTTTCTCATTTTGGTGTTCTGATTGTTGCTGATTTTTTCTTCTCATGTTGCTAATGGAGACTGCCCAGCTTTCATTTGCTGCATTTGTCATGTTCTTTAAGGAGCAAAATGGGAGTCCTGTCACTAAATCATAATTAAACAGGACACTGAGCAATTTTTAAGGCAAAATTAATTTAAAGGTATGGGAAAGAGAAAGTAGTCCTTTCCTTCTTAACAGCATTCTTGTGGGGTTTTTGGATAGGCACATGCATGTTACATATTACACAAACAGCATTAATGTGTTTGTCACCAAGTGCTCATGTTTGTGGGATGATTTACTCAGYGCAGTATCAGTGCACCACTGACACCACAAGTATGTAAACATTGTTTCTTCTTCCTGAGTGGAACATCAGTGGGGTTTTTTTCAGTTTAGCTTGTTTCAGTATAGCTGACCTGCTGTTTGAACATAAGTGARCTGACCAGAGGTCACTTAGTCTGGAAATGTTCCTGTGCAGGTCACCGTGTTACTGCAGTGTAGCCGTGTAATTGGGCCAGCAACACAGCTGCTACAGCTCCTTTTGAAAGCAAAGCCCAGGCTGTCTTCTAAAGGCTGTGGGGACTATTTGGAAAAGTTCAGTGAACCTAATCTTGGTTTTATTCAGTGTGCTTTTAGCAGAAGGACCGAAGTATTGCTCTTAATGTGCTGATATTTTGTGACCTTTTCTTCAGTGGTGCAATGAAGGGCTATTTTAAACCCTGGCTGTAAGCACAGTTCTGTAACAGCTCTGGCCCCGGGTCACTCGTGCTGTGTTGATCGCATGGCTGTGCTGCTGCCAGATCTCTGGTGGACACTGCATCTTTCAGGTTTCTGAACTTGGCTGCTTTACAAAAACTGCTTCCTGTTTGTCTCTTCCTCTTCCTGCTGCTTTTTTCTCTCGCCAGTTTCTCAGCTATGCAGTGTACTGTTTAAACAAGCCCACTGGTTTCACAGGTTGGTTATATACTTTTGCAAAACTGTAACTTTCCTTCAGCGGCAGTTTGCATGTTTGCTGTGTAAGAAATGCAGTGTTTGCCAGGAGCATTTGTGCTTCACAAGACTGCACTGTGAGTCAGTTTTCAATAAGAAAAAATGTCAAGCACAAGAAGTACATATTTGCATGGGGGTGGGGGCCCTGCRGTGAGAACACCAAACTGATTAGCCATATCGTGCTCATTCTACTTGGCATAACTCAGTGAACCTTCTCCGGGTGATTTACAGAAAGTGGAAGCTGCAGGGACATCTCTGAGTGTTCCCTAAGTTACGTATGAGTCTTTGCTCTCCTGGGGACAGATTGACACTTCTCATTTAGAGAGGGCTTTGTAGACTGTGTAACAAATCAGTATTCAGATTTTACTTAGAGAAATCACTCTGTAAAAGAATTCTTCCTATTACATGATGAAAAACAGTGTTTCTAAACTTCTGAATAAGATGATTTTGATGTATAGTGGCAAATGACACTGCCTCAGATAAGACGTGGGATTGCAGCTTTGCTTTCCCTTTTCTTTTGACATGTTAGTAATGTCTTTGCTGTACCACTTGAAGCTATACTATAAATACAGCAAATCGAGGCAGCTGGTAACTCTTTCAGTAGCCAAACTTTTGTTCAGACTGAGAAAGCAGCCAATGTTCTTTGGTCTGTATACCACTAAATAAGACAAATAATTTTTTTAATGTGGTTATAATGTTTAAATATAATTTTAATCCAAAGTAAAGTGTAGTRATACTTTCTTTTTTAATAGTGCTAAAAGAAAAACCCAACCCCCAAATCCCAGTTGGAAAATTGATTATYGAGCAAGTACATCTGTACCTCTGCAAATAATCTTGAGAGTCTTTGCTCATGATTTAATGTAACTATCTGACCTGAAAGTCCAGGACACCCAAGTCTGTGTTTCAAGGATCAACTTCCAGGGCTGTGTAACATTCTTTGAATTGAGAAGGGATTTGTTACAGATCTGTCTCACTTCTGGTCTATTTTGAAGCCTGCTACCTTCCTGTGAGTGCCACATCTGAAAGGAGTAACATGCAGTGCCTTTACAAATGAAGCCAAACTGTCTACATTTAATGTAGATTATAAGTAGTTCAGGACAGTGTGATTTTGCTGTGCATTCCATGGTGCCTGTCTTGATAGTCATAGCTAATGCTTCAAACTCCAAGTCTAATTTAATTTATGAAGTAACAAGATGGTGACTGTTTCAGGATCTAAATTGAGAAATACCTGGAGAGCCAGGCTTTAGTACAGCTATCTACCGAGGCAACCTCAGAGAAATACAGAATGCAATCTTCAGCAATGTGTTAAAAAATCAGTTGTGTAATTCTCTGAGAACAGAGCAATTGGAGGTCCAGATTTAATACTGGATTCTGTGTTTAATCTTAGTGGGAATTGCTTCCATGTGATGTGTGTTCTTTGTGGGTGGAGATGTTTGTTCAGAGGATAAACTACACATTTCTGATGTGATGCAATTGGAGCAAAGTTCTTCCTAAAAGTTAAAGAAAACAAATGAGCCATCTTTTCCTATTCCCTGTTATGAAAGATGGAAAATTTTAGTGGATGGTAATTTTTTTGGCATTGTGCAGAGTTGGACTTGTTTGATGGTTTTGTGCAGAACATTTAAACCTGCAGAATGAGCACTACTGCAGTATAATTTAACACTTGACAAACAAGCAGTGCAGGTATTTAAAGTRCCTGAATGTGAAATTGTAATTGTCTGGTAGAGGTGGAAAGTAGGAGTAATAGTTTCCATCATAATGCTTTGACCTACTGGTTGAGAACCAGTTCCATGCATACATGCTAACACAGTGAAAGCAAACATGTTATTTTATGGGAGATCTCTCCTAGGGTTTTAGTGCTAGGAATAYTGTTCCATGTTCCTGGCATGGCAAGTGTAGGGTAGTTCTTTGTTCACACAGCACTTAAACGCTGATTAAATGCATGAATGGTTTGGCTTCCCTTTCTTTCCTTCTGGTTAATATTTTACCTTGCAGCTCGTGAAATTGAGGTAAGTAAAATTATATCAGGGTAGACCAGGAGACCAGTCCTTTAACCCTTTTTTAACTGTTAATGTCTGTTTAAGATTTTCCCTTTCTCTTCTGTTTGCCAGTGTTGAATTTAAGGTTTCTTGGTAACATTTTGGTCAAATTAGACAAACTTCGACATTCCTGACGTGAMATGTAAACCAAAACAGCTCCACCTGTCTGCACTCTATTGCAAGGTGACCATCACAGTTGTGGAAACTCAGCAGCTTTAGAAAGAGAAAAAATTGGGTTTGGAGAACCAAAGCCAGATAACTGAGGCATGTGAGAAAGTAAAGTAGCTGAAGGAAGTAGTTCTGGAGTCTTGACTAAAGAGTTTACTAAAGTAGTTAGTTCAAGAAATACTTCTGGAGAGTGTACCTTTTTTTCCCCGCATAACATGATAAAATTCTCATTTTAATAATTCCTTGGGTTTAGCCTTTGAATTGAAATACAGCAGCTCTTTGTAATACTGAATTCAAATCAAAACAATTATTCTTTAAAAGCAGTGTACTTTTTTTTAATCTGATTTAAATCAAAAAGGTAAAATGTGTTAGTGGAAAAATCTATATCTCTTCTAAATAGCTGAGCTGGTCAGTTCTCTCCTGATTCAAAATTGACYCCTTCCTTGCTTTTTAATTAGCATTTAATTTGATAAAGAAAATACTTTTCTTAGCTTGGTTTTCTCTGATATTACCAGTTTGCTATGTACTGTTTGTAGCTTGGATAACTGAATTTTGAGTTTTGTTCCAAGTCCTGAATTAGCCAGCTCAGGTGATCCTACCCTGCAGCAGCCTCTGTGCTGCTTCAGTTCTTGTTTGAGAGTGTGACTCCAGAATGGGTAGACTTGTCAAGCTTTCCCACAATAAATAACAATACAAGTAATTTACATGTGCACCGGGGGTCAGTCCTCTYCTCTTTGTCCTTCTGCCCCCTGGCCACACAGACCCTCATGTTCCCAATGTCTTTTCTTTCCTCTGTGACTGGCTGCTCCAAGAAGTAGTTATTTATGGTGTGTAAAAAAACTATCCAATATCGTACCTTTTTGTATTTTGGGGATAGCAAAGTTTTATTTCATTTTTTTTTCTGTCCTTGCAGCAGTGTACTTAGCATTTTTTTTCACATTTTTCATCATCTTAGTTGGGTATTTGAAAGTGTAACATTATTTCTGTGAATTCTGTGGTAATGAATAATTGTTAACAATTTTACTTCATTCAAATCTAAGTGTTGTATTGCATAGCATCCCTCTTTAGTGACATGCTGCTAGGGTGGAATTGGAGTTGGAATATCCCAATTTTATTGCTCTACTCTGGGATGGCATTCCATCTTTTTTTAGAATTTGCCATTTTTTTTTTGGTTTAAGTCCTTCAGCTTAAAACATCTGTGTTATAAATTTTCTGGACTTAGAATCTGAAAGACAAAAGCTTAGATAACATCTTCTGATGTCTTRAGTGCATTGTGAAACACAGCACTGGTGTTGTATTTTAACCTTTCAGCTGCTTGTGTGTGACTGAGGGTGAAAGTCATTAATGGATAAATCCTTTATCAGCACTGCAGTGTAGGAATACACATTGTGTAAATGGTGTGTGTTATCATACTTCGCACAGTAATTTATTCTGTGTGCTTCTTACCAGATTGCCAGGCTTTCTTGCAATACYTTTTTTAAAATGGATTGTTGTAGAACAAGTTTCATGAAACAGAGGTGCTGTAGCTTTTTATCCTGTGTTCACTGGACTGTCTTATTAAAAGCCAGAAGAAAAATTTTGAAGGTTTTTGCCTGATATTTTTGTATTGTATTTTAAAATCAAGTAGACTTCATTAATTTGACACTTTTTCTTAATTCTTTTATAGTGTGCCGTTCAAATAAAAGTCCCTGGGTCTGTCTGACRTGTTCAAGTGTCCATTGTGGAAGGTGAGTGCAGTGTTACTATGCAAATCTTTTAATCAGATCTTCATCGTTTTCCTTTGTTGCTTGACTCTGAGGCAGTTCATTCAAAATTTCCCTGAAATAAACCTTTCACTATCTCATTTAATGTTGTATATTTATACCTAACATGGTTCTTTGCTGCCTTATGAGAGCCCAGAGATTATACACAAGATATGGGGATTTTAYTGGGTTGGGTTTTTAAAGAATAGTAGACAATAAATGTGATTGCTCAAGAAGTGCCTGGAGAACTGATAATTTAGTAAATTATTGTAAAGTTCCATTCTGTGGAAGATGTTTCTTTTGTGATAAGGTAAGAACTGTTGGAAAGCCACAAGTTGGCACAGSTTATTTTGAGAGAAATAGCAGCTATCCACTAAGACTGAAAACAGCTTAAATGTCCTGCAGTGCAGTTTTGGAACTAAAGTTATTGCCATAGCATGTAAGAACTAGCTGCCACCAGAATTYCTTCAGACTACACCTGCTTGATGTCTGTATTAGTTGAAGTACACCAAATAAACTGTAGAGGAATGATACAGCCAATGCTGTTGTTTATATGTCAGGATAATTGTGGAAAATGTGCTGCTACATAAATGTTTGAGATGCACATATTAATGGMGTGCAGTTAATGTTGACATTTAGACAGTATCTGAGATGTGAACATGTTTTCATCTGTTGGGTAACATCTGTGCTGCTGTGCTGTTATTCTGGGAAAGCATCATTAAATCTGGGGACTTTGTCTTTTAAGGTGGCTTGAATAAACTCCAGATTTTCTTTCTTTGATCTGGGTGGCAGTAAGYTCCACAGTTTTAATAACATGTCTCATTCAGAGTCTTTGACATCAATGCATTTCTCTTCTCTTTTTAATTTATTTAATAAATTTACACTTGGTGACAGCTAAAAGAGGGCRAGATGCTTCATGGTATATGATGATRTGAAATAAATAATTTTAATATTTTAATTGTGCTAATCTAAAAAAATACTGCTGTCTGCATATGGCCTTTATTGTGTGCAGGTGGTAGACATTGAGTCAGTTATTTATGCAGTTTTGTCTTTCTGAACTGCTCCCATCCTGAGAATGGAAATAATTGAATTAGAAGCAGTAATATACCTTAGGGCTCTTGTCTTAGTAATGACACTTTTTTTGTTAAATTAAAGATGCCTAATTTTCTGTAACTCACCTTTGAGCATGAAAATGTTCATTGTGCCAGCAGAAGAGCTGTAGGATTTTAGATTTCTTTYTCACTTATGTAACCACAAGCTCCAGAGCCTTTCAAGTTCATGAACTCGCTGACTGTAACATTAATCATGCTGCAGAATGGGAAGGCTGAAAATGGGGGTCAGCACATTGTTAAMGTGATCCCAAACACAAGGGCCGAGTGGAAAAAAGATAGAGCTGTAAGAAGAGTATATGGGAAAGCGATGTGGAGAACTAATTGTACTACAGGTATGGGAAAGGGAAGCTTAGGATTTTCTCCTAAATTGTTGTGGAAGTGTGTTAGTCTGTTAAGAGCACGGATGCTGGGGTTTGGCACAAGGAGATGGAGGGGCTAATTTGGGCCACATGAGASAGTAAAGGGGGAAAAGGTTGGAAAATTTAACCAGTGCCTTCATACAAGTGAATTGCCTTTTTTAATGCCTTTGTAAATATAAAAAAAAATTATTAGAAAAAAAAATCTGTTTTTTTTTAATGAATGTCGATTAGCTGTTTAGAGGTGTAAACTTCTTTCTTTTTCATYTATTTTAGATATGTGAATGGCCATGCAAAAAAGCATTACGAAGATGCACAGATTCCTATGACCAATCATAAGAAAACAGAAAAACAGGAGAAAGTTCAGCATACTGTTTGTATGGATTGCAGTAGTTACAGTACATACTGGTAAGGGTTTAAACACTGTAATTTGACAACCTTTTGTATATGAGAAAGTGAAAATGTCAGACTCTTGTGCAGCATTACGTTACACACATTTTTGAACATTTCATCTTTTGATTTCCTAGACMTGTCTTTTTAAACRCGCTGCTGTTTCATGTCTATTGTARCACTGGCTGTGGCTAAACTCCCACATGTCAAATGACTTAAACAGCAGAAACTTTTTGAAATGAGTGCTGTGTGGTTTGGAGCTGCTTCTCTTTGCTTTGGGGTATGTGGAGACCCAGACCTTTTAACTGCAGAAGCTGTTTGGTTGTAGTTACTCCATCCATCAAAATGGTGAGCTTTCACATATCCTTGGTTTGTTAGAATTCAGAAAGTAAAGTAATGCACTGTGGTTCCTGCCCAAGAAGCGTGAACTTGTGTTTGTGTGTGTAACTTCTGTGAGTTTGGGAAAGTGATGAACCCTAGTGGGAAGCAGTATCAAGTCTCTGGTAAGACTAAGGAGAAGAATCAGAAATGTTTCTTTAAACAGCAGAATGGCCTGGGCTGTGTTCTGTGGGGTTCTTGGAGTGCAATTAGCACTGTTAAGGAAAACTTAATACTGGTGCTGCTGCTGTTGGGTGCTGCACTTCCCTTGTTCCCCAGAGACTGGGAGTCAATGGGAGTTACTGCTTTCTGCATTCAGCATCCTCAATCCTCTTCCCTCTTAAGCAGGCCTGTTGACAGGTGCTTCCCTATTTGCAGATGCTTCATGGTTTGTGTGTTGTCACTTGTCCAGTGTGGTTATGCAGGATTTCAACAGTGTAAATCTCGGGGAAATGCCTGTTCTGGTCTTGTAAAATTACTGGGCGTGTAGCCCTTCTGATGGGTTTTTTGTTCAAATAATTGAGTGTCTTTTGGGTACTTCATCAGGGAAAAATCTGTTTGTTGAAGTTGGGGTATCCAGTTTTATRAGGAATGCTTCTGTAACAMATATTTTTATCTCCTTCRAGTAGAATCACAGTTAAGTGATTTCATCTGAAGAAATGTTGTTYAGAGCAACTCAGATGCTCAGCTGTAGGCATTTAAGCATAGAAGGAAKGTTTGAGTAATCTTGTGATGTAGGGGAATTTTGYTTTTATTTGCATTTTATTTAAATSACCAGCATTTTATCTGCTCCTGAGTAAAAACCTGAGAAAACAGATGAGTTTTCTAAGGGATACATATGCACAGGTTACCAGCATTGAACAGCTGTGGGAAGCTAATTTCACTTAATACTCGTAGCAGCTGAGTTCTATGTTGTGGCTTTTTGTTTTGTTTGAATTAYTCTCTGTCTTCTAGTCATTCTGAAGGTAATAATCCCTGGAGGAATTTTAGCAGGGTATTTGAAGTCTTGATTATATCTCCATTATGACAAACASTGTTCCCAACTTGCTGAGGCTTGCTGAGTTACAGCAGCAAGTCTGAGCACCCTGCTGACCTTATCCCAAACTCCTTGTGGGCATTGCAAAYAGCAGCAGCCAGACTGGGGGCTGTGGGATCTACCCCTGAACCCAGCTGTGCTGGTGAGGGGCAGGCAGCCCTGCACCTGGGAGGTACAAGTTTGTGGTGGCACAGAAGGGAAGCAGTTCAGCATGTGATGCCTTTTCTGCTGTACTGAGGGCTGAGTCATCTATGGATGAACTGGAACTAATTGTAGCCAGYTTGGCCTTGGGGAGTTCCTGTTGTGGGTAATTCACCAGCGAATTATAGCTCCTGTGCTAATGTGAAGCTGAACAAGTTTCAAAAGCAGTTTATCTTTGCTTTCATTTTGGATATTTCAGGTTTTTCCCACRTGATAATTCGAAAAAGATACTTGAATTTTTTACCGCACCCAATTGAAATGAGCATGGAAGTGTAAAGATGAAGCAGAAGGTATTCAAACAACTTCTGCCCCTTTATTTTGGACTATGGAGGCTGCTGTCAAATAGTGCTGCCAGTTAAAGCAAATAGTTGAGTAAATTTGAGACATAATTAGCTATTGTGGAGAGTGAATTTGAAAAGGCTATTTGTTAGCTTCAGTATAGACATGAATCCAGTAGAAAGTGCTACTTTTATGCCATGGTGGTTCTTTTAAGTGAACTTTTATGTAAAGATGAATATTTTATGCTACCAGTGTGGGCTGCCTCAATAATTTCAAAGTCAAGAAAATGCCATTCAAGGGCTTAATTGAATTTTACTCCTACTCTAAAAATAATGGAGATATTTTGATGCAGTGCTGGTTTTTATATTTTTATTTGCAGTTCAGTTTACTGCACAAAATTGAGTAGAATACTCTTATCCTGTTTTTATCCTGTGGATCCTGATTTTACTTCATTCCCTAGTTTGTATAAGAATAACAACAGTGAATGGGCCTGTATGGGCTTTCTAAGAAGGCACCATTTGATCCTTTGCCTTCCTTTGGCAGTGTCATAACCTGTCATGCAGTCTTTCCAGAGGGTTTTGTTGTTTGTTTRTTCTATCCTCCTGTTCAACTGCTCAGTCTTCACAGTGGAAAAGTTGATAGCGTCTTAATATTTTATTTATTGTGAGAATACAACTCTTGTCTTGATTCTTTGGTCAGTTTTGAGACAGCAGATGCAATTCTAGACCCTCAGAATAAATTACGCTTGAGACCTTAACTGCTGAGAAAAAGAGAGTCCTGAATTCCACCTATTTGGAGGTAATTGGCCTTTCAGTTCATTCTAAAGTACTACACACAAAGAGTTTACAAGAAGTACAGATCTTTTTTGTCTTCACACTRTCATAGGATGCTTTCTCTGGCTGTGTTAGTCAGTTTTTTTAATGCACGAGAAGTAAAATGATATGTGTAAGAACCCTGCTTTCCTGAAAGAGGACTCTTGTAAATTGGTTTTCTCTGTGCTAGTGCACAGACAGTTGGCACAGAAGAAGAAAGGCTGCCCTGTTTATATATTTGCATAATATGTTTCCTGTGTTCATTTAATCCCAGACACAGTTTGCAGGTCAGATTTCTCACCCATTACCCTCCTTGTTATCCCTTAAAGGGACACAGTTGTGTCAGGGGGGTGTGTGTTCCTGGCTGGTGTAAAAATAACCAGCTGTCAAGGACTTAGGAAAATTCTTTTTTAGTTTTTGTGAGGATGGTTCTATTTAAAAAACAAACCAGATTTACTGGTGCCATGAGCATTGGAAAATGAGATTGCTTAGTACTGTTATTTTGCATTCTACAGTCAGTGAAAGTAAAAAGAGTAAAAAATTATCCAAACAGTAAAACYTGAGCTCTTTGTTTACTCGTATAAGGTGTTGCACAACTAAGGAAACTTGGGTTTTGTTAATTTTTCCTATCCTTCAAATTCTTCAGATCCAGCYGGGGCTTTTAAACACAGCGTGCAGTTGTGTCCCCTGCTAAGCACTGTACCAGCACTGAGCGCTCGTGTTCCCAGAGCAGTGCACACATTCGCTGGCTTGCTGCCATTTTAGAWGCAAATGAGGCCAGCAGAGACCAGGCCTTGGAGGTAGCAGAGGTACTAAAAATAGAGTGTATAGAGGAAAATACTGTGCTAAGCCATATAAGGGACCCTCTGCAAGGTATAGAATTTGCTCTGTGCCGTTGCTGTTAAAGCATATTGTGAAGCTGCTGTGTGCAAAAAAGGTGTTTGTTCGTTTCTGATAATCCTGAGGATAATAAATTAAACATTTGTTTTGAATGGCAGCTTCATGTATAAGATGTAATTTCTCAGCAGTGTACCCTTAAGGTGTGTGGGCTTACCAAATTTAACTAAAACATAAACTACTTCTTACTCTGTTTACTTGGTTTATCCAAAATAGATTGGTGGGAGTGCTGTTATTTCTAGTAGTAGTGCTGGGTCCTCAGTGTTGCAGGAGAGGTGGTTTAAAAAATGTGCTCCTTAAAAAGAGAAATGAAGAAATTTGTCTTGATTCTAAGTGAATCTTGCAATTACTTTTCCAGTGTTAGAAGGACCCTGACATTTATTGCTGTACTTGATTTTATTCTTCTGTCTTGGGGAAAGTGCTAAACTGGTATGTGAAAAKAAGGTTAACATGATCTTCAGGGCATGGGAGCAGTGAAGTCATCTTTCAGCAGTAATTTTTGGTCAAGGCTTTCAGTGAGTTTGTATCTGCTCAGGTTCCCTGCTTTATCAGCATTAGTRACTACACAGTATCTACTACAGCATTAATAACAGTGTAACTGTGCTGGTGTACCCGGGTKCCCCTGGCCTCAGCTGGCCGTGCTCTGGTCCTTGGCCTGGGAGTGGTGTCCTGTCAGAGTGGCAGATGCAGGAGAATCTCATTAGGTCGGTTGGAGGGGGTTGAAAAAGCTGACAAGGACTACCTAAGCCATGGCTGAAAAAAAAAGCACATTAACAGGCTTCTTCCCCCTCCCCAACTAACTTGGTGTGTGCCCTTCTTTAAAAATGTAATAAGAATGCATTACTGGTAATCTTAATTATTTCTAGATCTTGCATAAGTACCCATAACTGCTGCATACATTGTTTGGATGTCCTGAGAGTTATATTAATTTCACTTCTTAGAGGCAAAAATCAGAACAGGCTGACCTTAGGGACTCCATTCAGTGGCAAGGACCTTTACTTTCTCAACTCTGTAGCCTTTTCATGAATGTAGTGTTGGAAATAACACTGGCAGTAMTGCAGATTTGTGCACCMAAGAGTGTTGTGAATTCCAGTTGTGCCTGAAGTCAGTAGCTTCATTAAATTAGGAAGCAAGTGTGGGTCTGCTCCAGCAGRGGAGTAACCTGAGGTGATGATGATGTATTTTGCATTTGAGTCACTCATGTGCCAAAAGGAAAGGAGAGATGTAGCTACAGTTCTGATATTAAACATATCCCAAAGTTTGTTTTCCTCACAGGACATGTTCAGTTGCCTGCCAAAATTTTGAGCTGTAATTTGACACTTTACAGTATGTACAGAAACTGATGAGTGATGGAGTGATATTTGTGGTTAAGCACGAGGTGCMATTTGCCACAGACTTCTGGCCTGACTTTGGAAAACTCAAATGATCTCAGTCCATCTTCCATGGTGTTTTTTCAGTAGAGCACATTTACGTTGTGTGTGTATCTGTTCAGCACTTCAGGTTTCAGTGATAACATCACAATGTTAAAATAGTTTAAAAAATATTCTGTATTCTGTTTACCAGGTGTCATTTGGTCTTTTCTGATAAATCTATGGCTGGACTACTGAGTCTGCTTTTGGTTACGCTGAGTTTTTGTTGGACTGGAATTCTGCCTTGAGCCAGGCAATACCCAAAAATTGTGTTTCTGATATCTAATAAAAAACTAAACTAGAAGAAAAACCATGTAATGAGACAGTGCCTGTACCCTCTTTCACTGCATGGAGGGGTGTTGTGCTCCCCAGTTCYCATAATCTTTCACTGGATCCCTTTGGTGCTTCCCACACCAAAGGTGTGGTTTGATCTGCTGCACTGAGGTGCTTTGCATATTCTGATTAATGTTTTTGTTGCAGTTATCGCTGTGATGATTTTGTAGTCAATGATACCAAGCTGGGCCTGGTACAGAAGGTCAGAGAGCACCTACAGAACTTGGAAAAGTGAGTAGTTTGTTTGCATCCAGACTGCCTTGGGCAGACTTGTAATACTACATCATTTAAGTGGTGTTTGTTTCCTATGTGTATATGTATCTAATTATGTGTATCTTGATCCTTGTGTGTCTTGACACTGCCTGTTTTAATAACCTTTTCATCACTGAGAGACAGAGATGCAGAGCAAATGGATATGACTGATCTGATATCTCTTATACAGTGAATCTTGCAGAAACAGCATATGATGGCACAGGAATTTAGATATCAATTAACTCTCTACCAAAACAATAATTACTGTCTTTTTCCACATAAATGGGAGAGATTTTTCACAATGAAACAAATAGTGTTGTCTTAGCTTTGTCAAGAAAACAGAGTAAGTTTTTTTTTTATCCAAGAAATTGGAGCAAAAATGCAGGTGGAAGTAGTTTTCATATTAATTGTRTAGTTTGATTTGCTAGCAAAAACATGAAGTAGGCTTATGAACTTGGAACTGCACAGAAGAGACATTGTTTCCTTTGCCTTTGTCTGGTGCTGTTCCACTGGAAAGCAGATGCTGGGATCTGAGTGATGAAYATGCCATGGCCAGTCCTAGAGAGCAAAGAGAGCTTGCACATTTTGCCTGAAAATCTTACATAATGCCAAGYAGAAATGTGTGTGCATTCAGTGCTTCCAAATATATCTGGAATGTTCCAGAGTTCAAGTAGGGCTGCTGCTAAGAAATTGCTGTGATTTGGGAAATGTCTGTATCCTCCCTGAGTCAGGTCTATCGATTACTTGGTAGGTTATAGTAATATTTTAATTATTTTCTCTTCCTCTTGGTGGCTTTGTCACATATGTACTGAGATGTAAAGATGTTTGAGCATAATGAGAAGTGCCCATTAGTATTTTGGAAACCATCCAGGAGATGTAACTTTTTGGGAGGTAAATGATATTGTGCAGGCTTCCATTCTGTGTAATGACAGCTTTTGAATGTTTGGAGGGGTTTTTATCTAAAAAAAAATAAAGAAATGGGGAAAAAAAACATCAATCAAAACACCAAACCCTGAAACAAGCTATGGTTTCACTATTAAATTAGAGAGAAATCATCAGCTGTTGTAATTGAGGCACCATTAATTTCCATTGATGTGAAAAGGGGTGATTATTTTTGTAATTTAGTATTACACAAATGTTACAATTCCATGAATTTTTATTTAAGAGAATTCAGCACACAAGTGCTGATGTTCCAGATATTTTTGATTGTTGGTAACTTGACTTTATCCTCATTTTTTTGAAGTTCTGTTCTTTAATGCTTAGATGATTCTTCTGACAGAAGTATTTKATTTCTTTGGTGTAAGAAAAAGGTCAATATTTTAGATGACAARTAGCTGCTAATAAGGGCAGTCTTGAAGGCACAAATCCCTGGGCAGAACATCCTGCATGAACTCCCTGGTGGCCATGGGGCTGTGCCCTGAGGGAGCTGCAGCCCATTTTCACACTCTGAAGAGCTCATGCAGCAATGGGAGCCTGTTTGCTGTCAGTGACAACTGGTGACAGATGGAATCACTGTCTTAAACATCACTTGATTATCTCTGGTCCATTCCACACAATCCTTTGTTTTTGTGGTAAATAACCTCTTTTAATTTCTTTCCCACAGTTCAGCCTTTACATCGGACAGACATAGGAAAAGAAAACTATTGGAAAACTCATCTCTGAACAGCAAATTRTTGAAAGTAAATGTGAGTACAACAGATCTGGTGCAGCGAGTTCAAGGGGTTTTTGTAAACCTGCTGAGGTTTATAGTTGGCCTAGACCCAGTTTCTGCTTGRTGCACTTTCTTCAGCATCTTCTGGCCACACACCTAGAAAAGCCCCTTCACACAGGAGCACGTTTGATATTCTGCTGCATTTCTGTTGATGGAGACTGTTGTGAGCGTCCCTGAGCTTAAGAAGGGTTTCATGTTAAGATGGAGTTTTTCTTTTCTGAGCAGGCAAGGTGCTTTGTCTTTTTTTGGCTGTTTGTTTTTTTTTGTCTTTTTTTTTAAAATAAATTCCCCTAGTGCAGAAGGCAAAGAAGGAGGTGCACTCTCTTGAGGGGAGGCTAAGAGTARTTGTTAGGAAAAAGTAAAAATGTTACCAGTTTTTTAAAACGGCTTAGTAAAACTTCCTTTCAAAAGGAACTGGGGACTGTTTTTAGGCTTTTCTTCTCATTTCATTTTCCTATTTGAACTTCAGTTCTGCAGAGTAGCACCCAGGAGAGGAGGATCCAGCCCTGGCTGGATGGCTGAAGGGCTGCATAGTTCCTCCCAGACAAAGAACATCCCAARTCAAATGTGTCTGTTTTCCACAGATTGGATTAAGGGAGTTTCTAATTTTCATAATTTCTCCCAGATTTTGAGGGTGGAGAGGGGRGATACTGGCCCAGCTGTATTCAACTGCTTCATTTTCACCCTTGGGAAAAGGAGAAAGAGATGGAGCAGAGCTCTTGGACTGTGGGACAGCAGTGTCACCAAAGGAGCAGCTCTTTCACCCACCCAACAGGGTGTGAATGGGAATAAGTTCCTGGGGTGGAGCAAAGCAGTCAGTTGCTGCATGGCAGTCTGGAGGGGTTTGATTACTTTAAAAAATGCACAGCTACAATCAGTTTAGGGTTGTGTGAATATGCAGTCTGTGCTTCCTGTACCGTCCCAGTCTTACAGAGTTTGAGGAAGCCTGGGAGAAATAGTGGGRCTTTCTTGCTATGGCAGTTCACAGCATCATCATCTGCAAAACTCATAGCCCGTAAAAACCCGCAGGAGAATTCTAGGCAACATTTAAATAAGGAGAAGATAGAAATAAAAGCATGAACTAAATGCTGTTTTTATTATTCTTACTCTGTGCACGGTTTTGTCAATTTTATTAATACTTCAGTATCACCTCTAACAACAGATTATCTTTGTATTGTTGACATGCTGAATCCTTATCTGGATCTGCAGGGGCACTGTTGTGTGTGCACACATTAGTGTTGTTCTGTGACACTTGGGGCAAGAGTGAGAAAAGAATATGCTCAGCTCTCTGTGGTGTTTGCACTTGGAGATATTAAAAGATAGCCTAGCTTTTAAATGTTAGAACAATGCCCAAATTGTTAGAAGAATGCCCAAAAATGTGGTGAACTTCCAGTGTGATATTTTGTAGACAATGGAATGTKTCCAAGTATTGCAGATTCTAGAATCATTAATACAACATTGTCCACATTTCTGTTGCCTTTCCTCCCCACCCACCCTGAAGATAATTTGACAAAGAGCAAGCTAATCTGTGGGTTCATTGTTCTAGGCTGTAAGTGGTGTGTATTTTGCTTCTCTTTGTTGAATACTTTGCTTTTTCTTTGCACAGTCTAACTTGACTGTTGATTTCCCAAATAAATGCTGTTGTCTTGTCTTTCAAAAACCCTTCTGGCTGCCACAGAACCCCACTGAGACTCAGACTAGTGCTGRTGACTTAAACACAACCTGGAGGTGCCCCCATAGTGCATATTAGGCATGGGAATAGGTGAATGAGGATTGGTGCTTTCACTTTTCAAAGGCCCTGAAATTGCTGTTCTGTTCTCACTGAACACTATTGGACTGAATATTTAACCTATATACACACAAATCCTTGGCAATAAGAGCCTCTGATTACTCTTGTGTTGTCCTATACTGGATTTATTTGCACAGGAGAAGATGTAGTATAGTTTTCTGTTGGCAGGAATGAGTAAGAAGCAGTTTTCAGGTCAAAATGGAGCTTCAAGGCAKTTTGAGCTCCTGGGGTGGTTGCTTTGTCTTTGAAATGACACTCAGTGTAGTTGGTTCTTGKTCAAACCTGTACTGATCCAACAGTGATGACTCCAGAGGGAGGGGAGGGGGTGGAGCAATGCTAAATCTTTCTTTAACTAATGTTCTTATTTGCAGGGGAGCACCACTGCCCTTTGTGCCACAGGCCTTCGGAACCTGGGGAACACGTGTTTCATGAATGCAATCCTTCAGTCGCTCAGGTACCTGCACAGCTTCCCCACACCTCTCAGGGGGCTTGTGTGCTGCAGTGCTGGGCAGGTGAATTTGGCACCTTCCCACTGGAGAGAAGTGTGCCTGGATTTGCAGGAGTGGGGTGTGTGGGTTGCTGAGGTTGTGTCTCATGGTCCAAGGYACATCCTGTGGTGCAGTGTTCCAGAGGAAACCTGCCATGGCCTGGGCAAGACAGGAAATTCAGACCAGTGAAATTTATTGAGTAAACTTCCTCAGCAGAGGCAGTCTGCGTTGTTAGGAAATGATAGTTCAGTCTGGCAGGGTATCTCTTAGTCAAAGCAGAGCAAAAATGTAATTGTTTCAGGAAGTTGAGATGACAGTGATATTTAGAGCCCTGCTCATGTGCTACAGAAGATGAGCAGTTGCTACAGTATTTCTTGTCTCTTGAACCATTTGTGATTGCTGTCTGTCACTGCATGAAGAGGTGTTTATGCATTTCAAAGAGYAAGCTCCAGAATACATAATATTTTGCTTTTTCTCTGCCCTTTAAGGATTTCATTYTTATTGCCTTTTTCCTAGTAACATTCAACAGTTTTGCTGTTACTTCAAAGAGTTGCCTGCGGTGGAACTGAGGAATGGGAAGACAGCAGGACGGCGAACTTACCACACCAGGAGCCAGGGTGATAACAATGTGTAAGCTGTGTGTGCCTTGAGCTCTGAGCTGTACAGGAAACAGCACATGGGGGCTACTGGGGCCACTGTACACTTATATTGCACATTCACAGGGGACAGTCACAGAGAAATAGTTACCTACCAAGAGACTTACATCACTTGCAGTTTGCTGTTACTGGGGCTGCAGGGAGGGACAGCACCACCCACTTGGGTAGTGCTGGAGTGTAAAATGTTAAATAATGTTAAGAAGTCCTATTCATGTGTGCTGCAGACATTATGTTACTGAATTCCAGCTAAAATAGGGTCGTGGGGATATGACTGCAAGTCAACATACTGCTACTACTGCTACTTAAAAAAAAAATAAATTAGGAGTTAGCAATTCACGATCTGTAGGTTGTTTGAGCAAGTGTTGAAGGGGTGATGTTAGCCAAGTCTGCACTAAAATGGCAAACAATGGATAAATATTCAGTGAGTCCTGAACATCTGAAATGTAATTTACCTAAGCTGTGTGTCTCATCAACATTATGGATAGGATTTTGGAAAGGATATTTACCAGTTGTTACAGTCTTAACCAAGCTAATTTCTGATACTTCTACCATTGAACAGGTAAACCTCTAAGGGTTATAACACAAACCCCCATTAAACCCAGCTTTTACTTCCTTTACAGTTCACTTGTGGAAGAATTCAGAAAGACACTCTGTGCTTTATGGCAAGGAAGCCAAACTGCATTTAGTCCRGAGTCTTTATTTTACGTTGTTTGGAAAATAATGCCAAATTTTAGGTAAGTAGTTTAAAAAAATAGCAATAYTCTTGATTGCAACCACATATTGCTGGTGTCCTACTCTAAAATGTGATGCACTCTGTGCASCTTTCCATATGCCTCCAAATGTGCTTTGAAAAGGATCTTTGCTTTGATCAGCAGTTTCGTGTTCATCAGTAGTGCTTGCTTTTTCCTTCTGCCCTTCTAGCACATGTAGCAGTGTCAGAGAGGAAAGATATCTCACATGAGAGACAGTGGTGCTTGTACCTTTGAGCCAGTGCTCCAAATGGATCAACTGTTGACTCGTGGATAGGTGCCAAGTGCACAGTGTTGACAGAACCCAGGCTTGGTCACAATGAGAAAATGACAGAGTCGGATTAAAAAAGATACAGCACGTACAGGCCTGAATGCAAACRTACTGGCTGAAACTTCCTTGATTCTCTCAAAATACTGTAGTCACCAGCTGGACATGACATAAGGGCTATAAGAGAAAAATCTTGTGCATAATAAGCGTTTTGGGCCCATACTGACAAGACAGATGAGAAAGAGARAAAGAAGGTTACCCAAGTAAACCCAAGTGTCGTTCCTCTCCAAGGTCTCCCTGTCCTGGCCCCTGAACCTCTTTCAAAGGAGCAGTGAAACCTGTTAGGATATATTGTGATGAAGGTAAGTTGCTCCATGTTCTCAGATAGTAAAGATGTTTTGTTATCTGTTGTATCTCCAGCAGTGCTGAAAAGATGCTGTGAACACATCTGCTCAATGAATAACCCAAACAACACCAATCTCTTTATCCTGTTCTTCACACTGCCAGTTATGTTTCACTTGGCTTATGAGAATCAAGGAAGTTTAATACCAGTAGTTGCAAGCAGTGACCAAAACATTATAGGCAAACAAATACCATCCCTAATGTCTGTGACCAGTTTCTCCATTAYAGTCTTCCCTGCAATTCTTGCTAGATCAAGTGAGGAGCCTGTTCATTGAAGTTCCTCAAGCAGATTTTCAGCACTGTGGATTCTATCACAGCTCTTAAAAGAAAAAGTGCTGTTTGTTGGGGCTCTCCCTTTTTCATTTTTCTTCCCAGTTTTCTGGGAGCTTATCCATGATTAATGGATAAGGGAACTCATAAAATCAAATGGAGAAATAGTCAGCTGCTTTTAGCAGGTCCCCACTCCCACATGATCCAGCATTTGTTCAGTGCTTAACTGAACCTTGTAAAAGCTAATGATGCAGAAATCTCAGTTCTGTCATGTGTGCTCCCTGGGAGATGGGGAGGAGAAGGCAGATGGATGGATGTGTGGAAGGAAAATGGAGCCAGCAGCCTGTTAGCAGCACACCAGCCACTTYGGGGTGTGTTCATGGAGCCTGAGGTGGTGGGGCAGGGCAGGAGCACTGGGAAATGAGTTCAGTTATTCTAGTCCAAAGAGATTTTGGTTGTTAAAGTGAAGGACWGCAAGTGCTGCTCTCCCTAGGGAGGGTTATAGAAGAAGCTGCTGCTGGTGCTCTCTGTGCCCCCATGCCTCACATTGCAGCAGGGAGCAGAGAATGCATTTGTGGTTACTACAGGCACAACTGCAGTGCCTCTGGGCCCTCCTGTGCTGTGCAGGTGCTGCTCYCTGACTGCTCTTGTGCTGCGTGCCAGGGCAGTTCTGTAGCCTCCTGCCGAGCTGCAAGATGTGTGTTTTGCTGATGTACTGCTGTGTAAATAGTGTGCTRTTTTCCTGGTAACTGGTCCTGTTTGTATCCGATCCTCCTGCCACTGGGAAAAAGAAGGGTGAGGGGTGGGCTGGAATTGAATTGCTTCAGGTGGATGGACGTCAGTTTTGTAGCACAAGCAAACCATCACAGAAACTGTGCTTTTGGCTGAAGGGCTTTAACATCGTAATTTATTTTAAACAGTGCATCATCCATATCATTGTGTCCTTATAAAAATCTGTATCTCTACTTACACTTTTTAACAAATCCAAAGAATTTTCCATCTGTAATTAGCATACTTGTATGCAAGTATAAATGCATGCACCAGGAGCAGAGCCAACAATGTGGAATGATTCCAAAGATTTATTTGTTGCAGAACAAGTGTGCCATCTCTTTTATGAGGAATTTCATATTGAAAAGGTGTCTGAAGCAAAAACTTTCCATTGGTTGTTTATATRGTTATTGAAGAAATCTGTATTCAGTAAACTAAACAAATCCTATGTTACCTCAGCAACTTGAAAATCATGCACAATTAACAGGCAGCTTTGAAGCAGAGCTTGGGTTTATTACTTTGTTTTAACAAATTTGCAAGTATTTTCTAACTTTGGGAGAAGAAGTCCTCCTATTTTTGGCTGTACAGAACTGGCCTGTCGAAGCACAGCAGTGTTTCTTTGTGCTGGGTTTTCTGTTGTAAAAAGTAGGCAGTGCTGCCCGATTTATATATACAGACTGCCTGATTTATATTTAAGCTGCTGGTTTGGAGGAAAGCATTACTGTAATCCTACAAGGTGAAAGTTTTGGTTTTTATTCCGTTACCTCCTAGCAATACTTTTGTAGGGTGTATCTGTGTTCCTCACTGAGCACATCAGCCTTACATTGTGTATTTCTGTTGCACCGAGTCTGGTCCCATTTCTTTCCAACTCTGGGTACTCTGCCATGAGTCTTATGGGATTTCCCCTCCCCTGAGCACTTGCATTAAAAAATAATGTGTTTTTCTCTCCCAGACATTCTTACCTGACAGTTAYTGCCAGCACTTAGGTGGGGTAGTTAGGTGGAAAAGGGGAGGTCTGATAAAACAGCTTGAAAGAATGGACAAGAGGAAGAGGGGAACCCAGCTCCTGAGGTGTAGGGATTTCTGTAGCTTAGGCCTACAAAGGCACGTACTTATGTCAGTGTTCACAAAGCTTTCAGTGTTTCACTGTGTATCCTTTCCTGCTTTGTCTCAGTATGCAGCTTACTGGCAAGTGAACAGCAGTTGTTTGTTGAAGTTGATGCATGATTTAGCTTAAATAACTTAAAAGGCACATTTTACCCTGATGGCTTCTCTTTTTGGTAAGGCTTGTTAGTGGTGAAATAATAATGGTGATTGAGCAGCATTGCTGCTGATGGCACAGCACATCTGGGACTGGAGCCCTGTCCTACCAAAGCCAAATGCTCCAGAGATGCTCTGAATACCCCACCATTACCTCCCTCTCCCCAGAAATGGTGTGTGAGTCTTGGGGGAGGTGTGCAACTGCAAGCATGGCTGTAGATCTCATCCTAGAAGGTGCACTCGTCCTAATTATTTCAGACTTCATACTGGTGCTGAAAGATGTGCATGGAAAACAAACCTAGAGACTAAATTCCTGCCTTTGGTGAGGAGGGGAAMAGACAAGCACACACAGACGTGCTTAAAGTGAGTGGGATCAGTGAGTGAATGAGAAACACTCTGCATCTCACATGAATGGTACATTTTGTGGTGTCTTTCTTCTGAATCTTACCAGGTTTGAGATTAAAATATATGGCCCCTAATTTGTGGCAGAAGCGTAAGTGCCCTGTCTGAATGAGATTGAAAGYAGTTCTGCTTAGGTACAAATCAAACCTGGTCAGTCCCAAAGGGAACAGAGGGGAAGCACTGCCACCATCCATTGTGTATTTCAGTTAACAGGGGCACAGTCCTGGGGTGGCACAGGCACAGGCGGGGCTGGTGAGGCCGGTTATGGTGGCAGCTCTTGTACCCTGTGTGGAGCACATGGCACGAGTCTGCTGCTCCCTGGTGCTTTCTCTTTCTGTCAATTGTATATTCTTAAAGGGTTCTCCATTCTCAAAAGGGCAGGCAGAGAACATGAGCTGCAAAGGACCAAAGTCACTTAATTTGTCTAAGACCATCGCCATGTTTTTCCAGAGGCTGCTTGGAAAACTTCCTTGGTACCAAGCGTATGTGGAAAGTCTACTCAGTGTGATTAAACAARGAAAGGTTTTTCCCTGTGACCCTGGTGCTTGCTGTGTGCTGCCTCTAAAGCAGTTTTGTYCTTGTTTCCTTTTCTCTCAAGGGGATACCAGCAACAGGATGCCCACGAGTTCATGCGTTACCTTTTGGATCAYCTACACCTGGAACTCCAGGGCGGCTTCAATGGCGTTTCACGTTCAGTAATTTTGCAAGAAAATTCTAACCTGTCTGCAAGCAACAAATGTTGCATGTAAGAAGTGGTTTTTAATTCCTTCAACACCTTCATGCCTTTGCATGGGTCTGCMTGTGGTGGCTCTGAAATTTCACATTCAGGATTCCTTGCTTTAAATTTTCTTTAGTGCCTCTAACTTTCAGAAGTGCAAGCTACAGATTATAAAGATGAGCGTTCTGTATGATCTGAGTCCTTTCAAAAGGAAGTATCTTAGGATCAGCAGTTTTCATAGATGTGCATGAGCTTACAGGCTAAATTGTAAAGACATTTTAACTTGTTAGTCTTTCAGAAATAAAAAAATAGTATTTTCTGTACCTCCTGTAGAAGTCTTTATTCTCCCCAGACACAGTCATTGTATTTGGGTAATAGGTAAGCCTGAATGATGCAGGAGCAAAAAAGATGGTAAAAAATTTTAATACTTAAATTTTAAAATTAAAATTTTAATATTTAAATATTTAATATTTATTTTAATAATGCAATGCAGTTACAGTATTTCCTGCAGATGATCTTGCTAAATTTGTGCATCACTTGACAGCTAGTTGGTGTTTTTTTCTGTATAATTTTGATTTTCGTGCCACTGTTTTCCTTGAAACAGCTGTGATGTCTGTGTTTCACTCAGATTTACAGAGAGAAAAACTAACAGAGAGAAAACCTTTTATTTGCWTCAGGGGGAAAGTTAAGTCAGACCAACCTGCACATTTGTTCCCTAAGTCCTTGACTCCCTGCAGAAACTCTTGAGAGTCCTTGAACTCTCCCTGAGTTCAAGCTTTCTCTTCTATACTGAGGATAGAGTACACAGGTGTGAGATGCAGGATTTTATAGATGTTTTGTTAGGGAAAGCCTGGAGTTCAGACTGTGCTCTTTACTGCATTTATGTTGTATTGCTAATGCTTAAAAATCCTGCCAGAAGAATCTTAAAATGTTGGTAGAATAGATATGTATTTGAAGTTGAAACCAATTTTGTTTTGTCAGCATTTTGAATGTCAAAATTCARGGAGAATTCACACTTTGTTCACTTGTGTGCTGTAAATTTGTCTTGAGAAGAGCTGTTCAGATGCATAGTGAGGTGGGGTAAGCTGCCTTCTGGTGAGGTCACGTGCACTTTAATACCTACAGTGAAGTAATAAATAGGCTGTGAATGTTCTCCTCTTGTGCACCAGTCTGAGGAGCTCTTTCCTCCTGCTCAGGTGTTCAGATGAACTGTAAAGATGTAGGTGGAGTGCAGGTAAAGAACACGGGTTGCTGTGAGCCTTCGTGTCACATCTGTGAGCACAAAGTAGCAAGGTCAGGAGTTGCATAGTAATTTAAAATCTGATTKTTYTTTTTTTAAGTGGACTATGAGAAGCAGGCCCATTACATAATCTGCTAAAAAACTGAGAGTAATGAAAGCTTAGAGAACAATGCTGATGTTGCACATTGTTTATTACTGCTTAATGCAACTTAAGCTGTCACTGTCAGTGAAGTGCAAAATGTGCTCGAAGAAGTCAAAAAGCACATGTAGCAAAGGGTGTAGAGTTAAAACAAAAATATGCTCGATCTACCTAGGAAGAAAGGATTTTTCAGTCAGATAAAGCCTCAATTGCACGGTTATAATCCTGTACCTGTGAGCAATTTCCACATTGTAGAAATGCAGCTCTACACAGCACTAAGAGTTTAAGCATCTGCTTAGAGCAGCACAGTTCACCGTTTCTTTGGGTCCAGGATAAAGCAGTGTAAGCACCACACACACTGTGATGTGCCCTGGGCAGCTGCAGTGAGCAGCTCTCCCTGGAGCACCAGTCCCTGTTGCCTCAGCCTGGCAGAGGGAGGTGTGAGCACCAAACATGGGACACGTGTTGGGAACTCAGCTCAGGCTTTCTGGCTGACTGTGCTTCTCTGATGTGCTTTGTCTAGAAACGGAGCGTCTACTGTTGTAACTGCCATTTTTGGAGGCATTCTTCAAAATGAAGTCAACTGCCTAATATGTGGGACTGAATCGAGAAAGTTTGACCCATTCCTAGGTAAGGTGTCTCCTGTGTTCCAAATACTGTGTGACTTAGGGCAGAAAAATGAACATGAAGCTCAATATATTTAGATGTCACTTGACAGACCCAAAGATTCAGCCTGAAAAGGCTGGGCATTGGTTTATTCAGCCCTAATTTCATTTCTTAAATCTTTGCTTTTCTAGACCTTTCGCTAGATATTCCAAGTCAGTTCAGAAATAAACGTACTAAAAACCAAGAGAGTGGACCAATGTGCACGCTACGAGGTAAGAGTGCTTGGCTGATGAAATCCTATCAGGACTATGAGGTTTTCCTTTCCAGTCAGAGTATTTCTAATGTATTTCACCCTTCCCAGCCACTCATCTGCACTGGCTAAATAGCCTATGGCAGTTTGCTGGGGCTGTCTTGGAAGCATTTGCCCATGCTCACAGTAATGGTGGCTCTTGGGGGTTCTGCATTTAAACCACAGTCCAGCAGGCTGGGCAGYAACCTTGCTGTTACTGACCTTGGTTTTTACAGGAAGTTAATTTTTACAGATTTGTGAATATACTTGCTGAAAATCATGAAATACTCAACAAAACCATGTTGCTGTGTTTGTTCACTTTGTATCTAAAGCTAAGCTTTAAAAGTTGAATATTCTGTGTTAGTAATTTATGTTTGTTTGAAAGCAGATGTGCTGAATGGTGGATGTAATCTTGTTTGAAAGATGGGCATTTTGTGAATGCCTGCTTCTTTCAGACTACTTCTAGCTGCTTTCAGGAACAGGGAAAGTTGCATGGTACAGCATGTTATTGAATTGAAACATYATTGCATAGCATTTTGCTGCTCAGATGGATATAACTAGAATGACTGCAGCAGATGAGCACACCTCTATTGCTGTGTTTGGTGTATTTCATGTTACAAAAATCATTTGCTGTATCTGCTTTTTTCAGATTGTCTTCGCAGTTTTACAGACCTGGAAGAACTTGATGAGACAGAGTTGTATATGTGTCACAAGTGCAAAAAGAAACAGAAGTCCACCAAAAAATTCTGGATTCAGAAACTACCAAAGGTTTGTATAAGCATGAGAAGTAATGGTGTGACAAAATGCCAAAGCAAATAATTGCTCAACCACCACCTCCCCCTCCCTATGGCTGTTGCAGTGTCCTCATCTAACACACCTTTTGGAATTGTACCCCTGCAGGTGCTATGCTTACACTTGAAACGCTTTCACTGGACAGCATATCTGAGAAACAAGGTKGATACATATGTTGAGTTTCCCTTGCGAGGCCTAGACATGAAATGCTACTTGTTAGAGGTAAGAAGACTTACTGACACTTCTGCAGGAATTTGTTACATGACCTSTCTTTAGTACGAGTTAGAGTGGGTGCTGAGATTTGAAGAGTACTTGTTTTTTTCCCACCACAGCCTGAAAACAGTGGCCCCGAGAGCTGCCTGTATGACCTGGTGGCTGTGGTTGTGCATCATGGCTCAGGGTGAGTACATGGAGCTGTGCTGGCACACAGCTTCTCCCACTGAGGGACATTCTGTGCTTAGGGAATSTATTTTAACTGGGGGAAATAAGCTGTAGTTCATAAACTGGCAGGGAGCAAAGCTGAATTAATGGAGATAGATCCTATAGATGAATGCCCCCAGCAGCCTTTGGGGTTAATGACTACATGTGTGAGATGAAATGAAATAGTCTAGTGCCTCTATAAATGAAAAGCCCTAAATCAAGAGGATGAGTTGGGGGGCCTTCCAGAAATTAATGCCTCATTTTTGAAATTCTTATTACATASAAAGCAGGAGTGTTTTTTCCTCTTTTGCTCCTGTTGGAAGGTGCATTTGCATTTATGCTAGAGAAGGGTGCATACATACTTGAAACAACTGTAGGTAGATAGGTACCAAAGATAGGTATGGTGAAAGAGGTTCTCACCATTACCTTTGCTGCTTACAGCAGTGAAGGCTCACAGGCWCACCCTGGCACTGGATACTGGGCATATTTTGAAGTAGTGTTACTGGGAGTCTTTAATTTTTCCCAGTCCTGGACAGGTCTGGGAACTGTTGAGACTGTAGTAGGGACAAGACAGCGTGTTATTATTTAGGCAGTCACTCTCTGGCTGAGCTGTGAAAYGAGTTTTCTTAAAGAAATTTATCAAAGCTTTGCTGATACCTGAATTTAAGTCACAGTTCTGTCCAGAGGGCCACTCCCTTTGCTTTCTCTGGAGAATACGAACTCCTGTAGCTGACTATAAAAGACGGCTCACATAGCAACACAGTGCATCTGACTGGTGCTTCAGAGTTACAGAAAATCTCTGTGGACAACARAGAGGAACTTGAATTGTCTTCTTGGTATTCTGGGATTAGTCTTGTTGTGAGTTGATTGTATTTAGGCCATGTGAGTCTCTGTAGCCCAAAATGGGGAAGATTTCTGAAAACAGAGCAGTGAGATTTTAATAGCTAATGCCTAAATAGTAACAGATAATGGACTTGACTTGCACATAAGCAAATATGGCAGGTCAGTGTTGCAAGAAGCGTTGCTTGCAGAAAAGCTACAGATTTTTATATAAAAGCCCCTTTAACTCATCCCAGTAAGTATTTTACTTACTGTGTAACTTTAATTTGGAGAACTTGGACCCCACTGCTCAAGAAGGGAAGCATTTCCTGTGGCGGGCTGGGAGTGTCCTCCTTGCTCAGGCTGCTGCCAGAAGGTGCCTGAGGTGTGTGTGTCCCTGACTGTTGTCCCTGTCCCCACCCCGACAGCGTTGGCTCGGGCCATTACACGGCGTACGCGGCGCACGAGGGCCGCTGGTTCCACTTCAATGACAGTACTGTAACCCTGACCGACGAGGAGACCGTGGGCAAGGCCAAGGCCTACATCCTCTTCTACGTGGAGCGGCAAGCCAAGCCTGGAGCAGAGAAACTTTAATACCTCCTTTGCATTCTTACTTATCAAGTCCACCGGACAAACATTTCCATTTTTCCATAAATACTTGATCCAAGACTTATTAATTTCATTGTGCACTTTTCAATTTCCTCTTGTGGGTTTTAGTTTTGTTGTGTCGATGGTAGCATTTGACTTACTGAACTTGGACACAAACTAACTTTTTTTTAGTTATACCAGAAAACCTCAGCAGATTTTGATTTGCTGCTTTAGTTGTGATAACTCAATTTTTATATATATAGTTTCATGAAATAGTTATTTGACTTTTTTATATTAATGTTTTCAGTTCTCACTTTCTAAAGGCACATTTACATCCAAGAAACTTTCTGTCCTCCTTACAAGCGAGATAAATGTGCTTCTGATCCATGAAGAGCAATACAACTTTTTGCTGTTCTCAGTGCTGTTATGTAGATATAAATTGATCTCTTTAAATCAAGGAATTGTTTGCACGTGCTATTTTCCCTCGTGCAAGAAACTTAAGCAGTGACCTCTGACCAATCATTCTTTGYCTGCAGAAGAGAGGCAATGTGGCATCATTAAACAGACCAGGTAATTGCTGCTATATTGGTGTATATTCAGGCTGCTGACTTTCAGGAATCATTGTAAATAAACAGTTGGTTCAATTGTATCTATACTGCAGTTTGATTCAAGTATTGCTCAGATGTGCTCTGCCCCCACCCCCTTCAAATTTAAAACAATTATCTTAAAATTACCTGTCTAAATTATGTTGAGATGAATGTTTTTTTAATGGAACCTGAATTGCATTAGACATCTCTTGGTTCAGGCTGTCATCTTGAAATTTGATCACGAACAATTGCTTGAAAATTTGGGAGACGTCTGGTTGTAGAATCCCTTCATGGCTGGTGGGAATTGGGAGTAGAGCCCCAAGGGCTGGGGTTTGTGAGAACAAGCTTAGGTTTAATCAGAGCTCTGCTCTGTGCCTGCAGTTCACTTGGGGCCAGGAGGAGGCAGATGGTGTTGAGGTGCTTTGCAGGGAGCTGTTCCATCAGTTCAGATCAAACCCCATGCAGGATGCTCAGTCTCACAGCAGAGCCCTCAGTGGGGAGGACTGAGCTGTGCCTGTGACTGGAGCAGGCTCAGGAGCRGTGGCAGTGCCACACTGGCCGGGGTGGCATTTTTATTGGGTCTCTAGGTGAACACTGGAGACAAATTGCAGTTTCTAAAACCTGCCTAGGAATGGAGAAAGACTTGCACTAAAGAAAACACCCAAYCTATTTCAGCTCCACTGCCGTTCTAAAGAGTGCAAGTCAGCTGATAAGGTGGGAAAGAAAAGGCAGACAGGAAAACCACTCTTGCAAAAGCCAGCAATGTGACAGAAAATGTGAAATTGGACAGCTGTTGCATTTCAGATCTGTTCCCCCAGCCCATCCTTTCCAGATGGCCCTMTTGTGCCAAGCATGGAACTGGACCCTCCTGGAAGCTCAGTAAGAGCAAAATACAGTTTATAGAGCATTCTGTCACCAAACAGTGGCTTTTAGTTGTGGCAACAGTAAAATGCAGTTCTCTGAAAACACACAAACCCCAAATGCGATTGCCCATTTTAGTTAATGACTCTGAAGGACATGGAGGGGGGCTGGAGTTGAGCCCAGAGCAGCCTGTGGCCCATGGAGTGCACAGCAGTGCCTTGCCCCAGGGTCCTGGATCTGGGCCAGGGGAAGGACAAATCACAGGCACTTGTTTGGTACAGGGTCATTCTTGAGGGCTTTTTCACAGCKTCTTAAACCAGGAAAGGGAAAAACTGGCTTTATCTAAAACTACAGCAATCATTCAGCATAGCTATTAGGGYATGAATATGAATACAGGTTAAGCCTATAGAGTAATTGATAAAATGAAATGCAAAAAGATGTAGTCTTAAGTTGAACAACAAATAGAACTTTCCATTGCTTTAAATTGTAGATAGTTTGTCACCTTCTGTTTTTCCATTTCTTGAGGGCAGAGCCTTTCTTCTAATCGAGAGAACAGGTTACTGATACACAAGCAGAAAATGGGGCAGGTAAAGCATTGTGTAGATGCCAGCTTGAGCTGTGTTTTCTCTGCATGTTGCTTTGACTGGATTCCTTTAGATTTTACCTTTGAAAATGCCAAGCTTAAAATACACAACTAGCTCTGGGCCAGCAGCAGTTTAACCTACASTAGTCAGGTGTATGCAGTGTTCTTGTAAAACAGTGATGTAAATGTGCCTTTCTGTATTTTTAGAAATTTAAATTTGTAATCTTCAGCAACATTCACTTATTTTAATCAGCTTCTATTTTCTCAGTAATTGTTTGGTCAGAGTTATGGTCTCACTTGAGCATTTTCTTTCAGTACCATGCACCTCCTGGGCAGTGGTGKCTCCAGCAGGGCCGTGTGGGGCTTGGCCTGGGAACACAATGCAATCCCAGCAGGTGCTGATCAGGACTCAGCCATATGCTTTGCTGGAACAAGTACATTGTAAATCCTTTCCTAATTTAACTTTCTCCCACTGCAAACCCAGATGGACAGTATGAACAGTTTGTTGTGGCAACACAAGTATTTCTCTTCCTGGTGGAGAACTTTGCTTATCCACTGTATTCTATTCAGTGTGGTGTCAAAAAAGAAAAAAGTAACTGAGCACTGAACCAGTAACATATACTGCACCTGGCCTAGTATTACATTTTTAACCTTACTTGTATATCCTATATTTATCTACTAGCTTGTGGGGGGGTGGGATATCTCTTTCATTTAAGCCAAATGTTTCTTTTCTACTTACTGATCATAGTGCACACTAGCTGGCAAGAATTTTTTTTCTTGCTTGAGACTGCTCTGCAAGCAGCAACTGCTCTCTACAGTTCAAAGACTTGCATATTTTTCACCAAAATGTGTCCAATCAAAGGTTGTCCTTTTGTTAGTAATTGTTTAGCCACGTATACAACTGGAGCCAAGATTTATGTCAATCAAAACTGCAAAATGTCCAGCTCCCAAATGTCAGCAAGAGAGGAGAGTTTAAAACTTTGAGATAGGCAGGGACAGTGGACTTGTATCAAAAGCAGGAGGCCATTTRTGAGGATTTTACTAAATCAATGGAAAGTGTAACACGTGGTGTTCAAAAGTTCCCCCAGCAATGTTTCATTACTGATGTGTCTGTGTCTTACTGATGAGGTAATGGGGCACCTTGACAACTGATTCCAACGTGCTTTAGGATATTCTCAAGTACTGTAGTGCCATAGTTGTAATTGTTTACCATTAAAATCTTGTGTGTAATTTTCAGTGAGGATTACTGACTGTGCTCATCTTGTATGTTTCTGGAGCATTTCCAGGATGAATGTGAATTATATCTCATCACACTGTGTTTATGGAAAATGTGCCATTAAAGTGTCTCCTTTCCTTAGAAAATGGAACTTCTCTTGTCCTTCTGCAGGCTTGCAGACATTAGTGTAAGTCCTCTGACCACAGATGGCAGAGTGTTGTACCTCGTTCAGGGAAAACCACAATAAAACAAAGCCCTTGCAGTGTTCCTAACTCTGTAACACCTCTACCAAACTTAGCAGCATCTTACCTCAAAGATGACCTGCCMTTCAATTTGGAAGTTGCTTTGTCACCCAACTGCTGTTAATTTTTTTATCAATTATGGTGTGTCYCCWCTGTCTGGCAAGAGTMCATCCTAACATCCTTGTCTTTCRGCTTTRCTTGAYTGGTGGYTTGTTTKTCWTTGGGTTTTTTAAGTAATATTTTTGAAMAGTTTTCCTATATGTGCAACTTTGAGAAGTCTCAACTCTTTAAACCTGCTCAAAAATGAAGGTAAGTTCTTGAGAACTGACAATGCTCACATGAGAAGCAGCATTTTTCACAGCTTCTTAAACCAGGAAAGGGAAAAACTGACTTTATCTAAAACTACAGCAATCATTCAGCATAGATCACCACCTGCAAGCACACCTTTTAAGCTGCTGTTTTCCAGTGACTGCCTTACCTGGTATGTGCAATCTTCTGTCCATTTGTGGCTTCATGAAATACATCCAGAGCCAGAGCACTTGTTTCTGAGAGGGGGAAGGGGGCACAGCAGTCTCCTTATCATTGCAAGGAAAAAATATCAAAGTATCTGAGAGCAGAAGACTGGCACTTATTAAACACAACTTACTGTATGTAGTAGAGAATTACTAACTAAAGAATGAAGCACAAATAACTGCTATTTCTTTGTGCTGGCAGTGTTCAGCCACACAGGTGATTCAGGCACTTCCTCAAGCTCTGAAGCTACAACTGTTGCAGACTACAAACSAATTTCAGATCTTGGTTTTCAGAGTTGAATTTTAAACTGCATTCTCAGGGTAAGAAGGAAGAGGTAAACGAGACTCACTCAACCTTGTCCTGTAATTAAAACACTYCTAATTAAAATGCACAGGTGAAAATGTCTCCCAGCTCCTACCTGTGTGCWGGCCCACTTGAGAAACTCACCCAGWGCTGTTTACTGTCATCATCTGGATTAGTTGTTAAATGTAATTGTCTTGTTTAACACAAGGCAGAAGGTAAGTACAAAATACCTTCATYTCAAGCATTTTTGACTCAGAAGCAGGAAAGTTAAAAGGATGCTTACTGCTTTTAATTCTAACCTGCCCTTGCTGTAGCTTTATTTTTCTTCTAGGWGCAACTTTCTGCTACAGTTTCTCCCATTACTATAAAACAAACATTTTTACCTGGAAAACCACTTTCCTATCTCTGTTTTCCACCAAAGGGTGCAAAAAGGTTTCTATAGTAACAGAACTAAACCTCCAAAACCAGAATAGCCCAACGTGTAAAACTCAAGCCAATAGAAGACATCTATTAAAAGCACAAGCCCACAAGGAACTAAACATAGCCTTGCTGTTCCCAAGCGTGGCTGCCTCTGTCATTGCTTCCCTCCTGCAGAAGGAGGGGACACAAAAGCTGGGGACACAGCCAGCTTTGTTTACAGACTCACAGCTCAGCCTCAAATAACTGTGCAGGAAACTACCCCAACTGAGGTAAACTGAACCTGCAGACTGTGTGGGTGTGTGYTTCAGGGCACCCAGAGAATTTTGCAGCTCCTTTAAAAGCTGTTTGTGAAAGTTCATTATCCATGTAACAATCCTTGAACATGAACCAAAAGGGCAATCTCAGAAAAATCAATGAACAAATACAGACTAGCAGTGTTGTACACTGCAAAACCAAACTGCTGCTCAGAAAACCAAAAGCCCTGAACAGGAAACACTGATAAAGATATTCCTGACAGCTGYAGCTACACCCCTTCTCCCCACTCTGGTAACTCAGCACAAGAACTTAGCTAAACTTCAGAAAAGTCTACAACAGAAAAAAAAAAAATGCCTTTTAAGGAAGCATTTCATGACAGTCAAGTTGTACATGCCCATTCCATTCCCTGGGACAAAAGCAGCATGAGCTGCATACATGGCTCTTTTCCTTTCCYTGTTCTGAGCTTCTGCACCAGTTGTTAGCCAAAAATAAACACCATTCCACAACCATATATGTGCAACAGCCTTGTGGTGAGTGTGAGCCCCCTCCAGCACTGCTGTTATCCACGAGGCCGAGAGACTCTGCCACTGCTGCCTGGCTATGCACATAACCCAGCTCAACCGGGAATGCCTTCTACATCTCTTCTCTTTTCTGGACAAAAACAGTAGGAAAAATTTAGCAAAAACATGTCACAAGTTGCTAGAAGTGTTTCAGGATCCTTTACTGTGGAATTTGTTGAACTTTCATTCTCCAGTGGAACTAAAAAAGGATAATTTTCTCCTGGGACCTGCTTTAAAATACTTATCCATCTGCTGGTATTCAGAGAGAGTCAAGGTGTGTAACATTGAGGACTGGATGAAAAACAGTTTCCAGAAAGACTTCTGTAACAGGCATGAGAACACTGTCAGTGATTTTTTACTAGACGTTTGCAACAGGTACGTTCTGTGGGTGTGAGTGTGCAGTAATGTCTTGAAATGAGTGAAGTGAGAGTTATTAAAATACTCCATAGCACCTGCCTGGAATGGAGCATGAAGTACATGAGTGCTTTGCCTTTACAGTTTTAGTGTAATGGTAATTTCATTTTAAMGTGGCAGTAAGTGTATACTTCACACAGATTTTTCTTAAGCCTACTTTTGCTTATTTTTTTTTCTAAGAATGAGTAATTAATATGGGGAAGTGCACTCCTGCCTCCCACACTGCTGCTCAGCTGAACTACACCATTCTGGCCATGTCTGGGGGGTCCCTGGAGCAGAGCCCTGATTCCAAACGGTTTATATTAAACATATTACTAAATGGCAGCTTTAGTTCAGTCTGTGAAATAAATATTGCTATTATACTGAAGTTTAAACTCCTAGCTGCTTCTAAACTACAGGAAGGGAAATGGCTTATGAARAAGCAGCTGTGGGTGTAAAGCATTTCTTGTAACATGCCAGAGCCAGCCCTCAGCTTTGGAAGGAATAACTGAAAAAAGCCAATAAACTGGGATACTGACAGGAGACTGGTTTGGTGAGAGCCAGCTGAAGTGCAATCTCCAAACAAGGACTGAAAGGCACCTTTTAAACAGGGATTAAATTGCAAGTATCAAATTTCTGGAGTAACTGTTCTAGAATAATTGATAAAAAKCTGAATTAAGGAAGGATCAGCACACCTGTGCCTACAAAGGATAGTACAAGATCCTGCCCCTTTTTGCAGCAACCCACTGCAAGTGAAAGCATTCCCAGTCAATCATTATGTACAAAGAAAAATTAAACATCCAGCTTTTCTCCCTGAGTTTGAAGCAGTTTTATTCTGTTAGAGCCTTTCTTGACCCTGCCAGCTTTTCTCTAACTGTTCATAACTGAAAAGAGTTTAAAAAATAATTCTGTCTCGAGATGTCATGAGAGCAAAGCTAACACAGATCTGTGCTACAGCAGAAACAGGGAGCTCTCTGTAGCTCTGGCAGGGGTGKGAGGCAGGAGCCAAGCACAGCACGGGTTTGCAGGTTGGGCACAGGGTCTTTCAGCACAGCAGCTGCTCCACAACAGCTCCTGCTGCTCCACCTCAGCAGCACCCACCTGGGACAYGCCTTTTCTGCACTTCCCTAAGGTGCCCAAGCAGCAAAAAGGTTTTTTTCATTTGCTGCATCATTGTATACAACAGTAGAGTTCCTACCAGTTTAGTGACTCAAAGGAAAGTGTTAAGAGCTGTGTGGGGTTCAAACATCACATGAGGAAGCAGCTGGCACCTGTTCAGTAAATCCRTAATTCCTGAAAATGAGGAGTGGGAGTGTCTTACTTGCCCATGCTCAGCAGTCTCTTCTCTCAATTGTCCTCAACTTCATCCTGAAATGAATCTCCTCTCTACTGGGTCTCCCCTGGCTGTGCCTGGAGGAGCACAGCACCATCCAATTCCTTAGGAAAAAACAGTGCAGCTGCAGCTTAAACAGGCTTCCACATCCCCCTGTGACCCTGCCAGCTGAACTGGAGATGTGGCTACCAACAAAATAAAAAAAAAAAAAAGCAAAAGAGGTAATCTCTGCCTTTAGTGAAGCTGAACATTAGGATCCACTTATGCCCTCACCTACTTGCACCTTCTTCCCCCTCCTGATGAAGAGGAGGCATTTTTCCAGCCTTCATATTTATTCTTTATGCTATGTGCTTCTTCAAGCTCTATGATTTATTTCTCCCATCTCACCTGTCACCATCCTGCTTTCAGATGCCCAAATCTGCTGTCTCTGACCCTCTCTGGATGTGGCCATGTTACAGACGACTGCATTTTGCAGCTTCTCAAACACTGCCCGAAGCTGCAGAGCCTGAAACTGGAGAACTGCGTGCGGATCAGTGACCACACCCTGGAGGCAGTGACCCTCCACGGGGGATCGCTGCGAACGCTGCACGTGGATTTCTGCCGCAACATAACACAGGCTGGGCTCCAGAGAGTCAGGGAAAAGTGTCCTTCACTAATGCTGAGAGCAGAGAGAAGTGCTAACATGATCCCAGACAGTAAGCCAGAAAAAAAGCTGATGCTTGAAAAAGCATCAAGAAAATTGGTTCAGCTCTAAGTGCAGCAAATTGCACGWTGTGTATAATCAAAGTGGGTGTTTTGCTTCACTCTGAGGTGGCAATGAAGTGTGTTTACTTCCCTGGGTTCTGGTTAAATCCAAACAAATGACTGATTCGTTTTGTGAAGAGTGCACTGGGAAAAGGCATGCACCTCCTCCTGGACAGGCTTAAGGAAAAACCTGTTTGCTCTCTGTTGTTCCTGAAAACTGGAAAACCCTGCATTGCTGTCACAAAATGCCAGAGCTGCTGAAAACTGCAGTTCTGGTACCCTCCTGTTGCAGATGAACCTCTCASAAGACAGAAGAAGCAGTGTGCTCCTTGAGGCCAAATAATCTGATGGAGTTCAATACATTTTATGGACTTTATAACAAAGTTTCACAGAAGTATGGCAAGGTGCGGTAAGATTCACCTGACTGCATGAAGAAACACAAGTGCAGTTTGAAATGAGGCAGAATGAGTCACACAGAGCTGAGAACACAAACACTGAGGAAGAGCCACCCACTGTGTCACGAGGTTCAGGCTGGGCCYTGCACTTTCTACACTCCTTATGTAATGGGCATAAAACCACAGCAGGGAGAGCCTGAATCATTGTGTGCTTTTCACAAATTCAGGGCAAGAGTAACAAACTTCTGTYAGAGAGCACATCCAGACAGTCATTCCATCCTCTGTGGGGGATAACCACTCCCTGAGAGGGCTTTCTAGCAAAAGCAGAGTATGGGCAACCAGCACTTCCTCAGTGGTTAACAGTGGGAGCTAATTCACCAGGCTTTTTTATTAAATGAAGGAAGCATGGATTCAAGGCACACAAAATACAGGACCCTCTGCATGATGTACTTACTTAATGTAAGATACACCACATTATTTTTTAAAGCTGGCATTAAAGGTAGTGCTATATGAACAAATGCTAGTTCAGAGAACTAACCCACAGGAAAAGAGAGTGACTAACAGCCTGTAGCTTTAAATRCTAAATTAGGAACACACTACACACCAGCTCTACATAAACACCCATTTCTCACCGCATAGTACAAAACCAATAGCTATTTTCATCCCAAAGCACAAGGCTGTCCCTCCTTGCCTGCACACTGCTCTGCTACCTGGAAGTGAAACTTYTTGTTACATGCTTTTGATGCTATGCCACCATCTACAAAATCTGATATCAAAGAGGACTTTAGAGCTCTCAACATAACCGAATATACCTACTCCTCCTTCCCATCCTGGTTAACTGATCCACAGATATCCTTGGTACTCTTAATCTGGCTGAGCCAAGAAATAAATCACAGCATTACAGCAACTTAGTCAAACAATGCTGCAATTCTTGAGAAATGCTTCATCAGTGTGAGCAGCTGTAAGAAACACCCAGAAAACACTCAAGGAAAATGGATTATTGCATCTTCATAATTTAGAGATATTTAACAGCATGACACTATAGAACTGGAATTTCATTAACTCATTCCTAAAGTACAAGCATGGCCCTTATGCACCACGAAGTAAAGAAGGAAACTGGAAGTGTGGACAAGGACAAAGAGCAATCCTCACCCAGATTTACAGCTTGGGAAGGACATTGCTGAGCTGAAGAAACTACAATGATGTGGAAATTGGGAAGCTGACACAAGTCATACCTTGCACACACACCACCAGTTCCATACAYTGCTGACAAGCCAAAACAAGGCAGGAATTTATACAGTCACAGCAGTAAGCAAAGACMTCCTCACACTGCCAGCTGTCCCAGCACTCTGKGGGGGAAGACACATCTCTGTTGGTGTAACAGCAACAGAATTTCAAGTAGCTACAAGATATGAAAGCACATTTGCATCCGTCCACATTTTACATAAGCCTTTCTGTCAGTTTTCTACCAGGACTGTGGGGGCAGGGTATGTTGTGGTGTTTGTGTTTTGTTTCTCTTTTCAATTTTCTTTTATAGAGCTACAAMGGGTCTTGAAACACTCTCCACTTGGTTTCTTTGCCTATTTGTATACACATGCTGTCGTTCCATTGCTCTTCCCCTCCTTGAATGTAGATATTTGTTCATGGCATGGTAAAATCTGAACATAATTGTGCTGATACATTTTTTCAGCATCAATAATGAAKTTTCTTACTTTGCAATCCAATTTGMAAACTGAGTACAGAAAATGATTACATTTTACTTAGGGTATTATGGAAGGATRGAAACATGTCTATGGTTTTTAATTCCAAGCCATTAAAGTTCCATCAAGCACAATCCTTTAATCAACATTCTCTCTCATTTTATTGTAAACTGCCTCCAAAACCTTCATTACCCAAGAAGCCAACTGCAGAGTCCATAYAAAAGTGCCATTTTTAGGCACAGTTCTGTTACTTTTTGTGGCTAATTGAAACAGGCTGACAGATCAGTGCTATGAATTCAGACACATCAATGAGGCGCAGAAGGCAAYAATACAGCATTTAATACAGCAGTTTCCCCATTTATTTAAATACTGTATTTTTTACCTATTACACCTATAAATTTAGACCAAGATGTGAATATACATCCCCACAACACAGTGATGGGACACCRAAATCTCAGTCCAGTTTGGCACCTAATAAAAAGTGAGGCAGGAAACCAAGTCTGCAGGATTTCAGAGCCCTGAGACCCTCCTTCCCCCAAACTGCTGATTCCCCCCAGATGTTTCACATTGCAGTGTGGTCTTTGATCACAGCTAAAAACCTCTTGCCTTTTTCGGGTGCCAACAACTAGTCCTAACTGAGAGAACTTCACCAGATAAAACCCAGATTTGCAAACTTTTCCTGCCTATCAAGCCCTCCCTTTGAGCACTGGCAGCAATAGCAGCTCAGTCTTGGACAACCAGGAAGTTTCCCAATCAATCTTTGCTAACATACAACAAACACATGAGAGAAAACAACAGGGATTTCTACCCTACACTGCAGACTCAGATGGACCAGTCTTGCCCCARGTGAGATGACACCAGTGAACATTTTTACCAGCCCTCAGTCCCCACAGCACCTTCCCAAGGAGCTGAGGGTGGGAGAAAACGGGGGCAGAGCAGCTCAGATTCACCTGGGGACACTCTCCCTTTTTCCTCCACCCAGGTAAATCCTGCTCTGCACACCAAGCAACATTTGTAACTTGACACCAATGATGTCTTTTATAGAGACAATGGGCAATTATCGATTGTCCAGCAGTTCCCTAAGACAGAGCAGGGCTTTCTTTGTGCACTACATTGCTGTCCTAACCAAACGGGAACATTACAATGAAAGCCAAACCATGCTGATATAACAATTACAACTGCAACAAAATGAGACCAAAGCCAGAACTAAGAATGTGAATGAAATCCACAACCTCGACTAATACCCTGTCACTTCCACTGTGATTTTTTCATACTCTGAGCAGGAATCAACTCCATCAATGTGTCTATTAAAAATTAGTACTATTTTCCTCAAAGGATTTAAAGTTTTCTGAATCAAAGTGGCAGCATGCTGTTACTGTCAACAGCTACTCCCGMGAGCAAAATGTTTAAACAAAAAGCAAGAAGGAACCAAGCACAACACAAACTTGTATTGCAGCAGGAGGAATGAAGAACAGTGCAGCTGAACAAGGCAGAGCCTGAGGGCCAGCAGAACACAGAGCACGGGGCTACACAGCACAGTCCAGCAGCATCAACATTTTAAGGTGCTTTAAATGCCACCCCCTGTCTAAACACTGTAAGACTGTAATTTCCTGAGACAAAATATGAAAGTATGAAGGCTGAGTAAACCAACCACAGTTCACAAATGCATACAAGCAACCGATTCTTGAATTTACTTTATTTTTCTCTGCATAAGGAACCCTGCACAGGCAATTCAAATTAAAACAAAATAAATATGTGAATATTCATGTAAAACTGTCCTGGCTAATGAACAATTATACACAATGTACAACTCTTCATGTTCACTGGGAGGGCTTACAAATGTACTATTCCCAACAAAAATGCACCAAAATGTCTCCATGCAAACTTATCAAAAGTGACCAAAAAAGGAGAAAAAACTTACCGATCATACTTTTTTGTTTTTCCTTTTTTTTCTTTTTTACAATCACAAAAAAATAAAAACATCTAATTTTTTGTTACATTTAGAGTAACTAAAATGTGGCCACCATCTATTAACATCTGGTTTTATGCTCCTAAAACATCTATGGTTACTGTAAAATTATGTCAATGAGGAACTGGACTTCGGGCACTATTTGTAGTAAAAGGAAGATGATTTTGTTCACAGAATGTTAATAATCTGTGTCTGAGCCCTCTGCATTGTCCACATTCCGTGAGAGCATGTAATTGTCCATGTCTATAGACCTGCAATTATTGATTGCATAGCGCAAACGCTCTGCCATGATTAGTTGACTGGAGTAAGGTGGGAGCCTCAGTTGAAAGAAACAAGTCTGTGAGGTAGGCAAGCTGTCGTAAGGCTGTGGAAATGGATAAAAGGTGGGACACTGGTAAGTTGTGAATGAAGGAAAAAATGCAACATATCCACATTTCATTGCTCCTTCCCTCCCTTGCCTCTAGCATCCATCATTTGCACACTCTATCTCTACATTCCTTTTAAGAAGCTGACCAGCCTCCCTTGTTTACAGCATTTGTTTCATCCTTAGGTACATGCAAAACTACTGTATCACCTMCTCTGTAAATAATTCAACCCACTGCCAAAATTCAACCTTTTGAAAAGTTGATCACTGTTGTTTAGCAGCCCACTGCAAGATACCAAACAATGTTCAAATTACATACCATAGTGTGCCTCAACATAAGGCAATCTGAGAGACCTAACCAAAGATGACAGCCCAACTACTGCTAGCTGAGATTTTGTCAACTTTTTGTTTCATGCTGTTCACAGAGAATGTGCTTTCACTGCACAAAAGCACAAAGTAATTCCAAATGAATGCAAACTGTATGTAAACTAATACACCCACTGCAGTGGTTTTAAGACATTAAGAGTTCACTAGTGGTCATATGTTGCCACTTCTATGAAAATTAAAACTTAAAAACAGAACAGAAATTACCAAATGAAAGAAGAGATTGGAACAGTTACAGCAGACAAAGGCTGGTTTCTTTGCCTTGACCTCCAATCACCAACTGCACCAAATTAATTAAGGTACAATTCATGCAGCCTATGTCCTTTTACGTTTGAATTTTATATCCCATTCCATACTTTTTCTGTAAATTATGGAAACTGTCTCCTATTGCCAAAGCACACACCATACTTCAGAAGAATTAACAATAATAATAATAATAAGTAAATAATAATAACAACAGCAACAACAGCAACAACAGCAACAACAGCAACAACAGCAACAACAGCAACAACAATAATAATAATAATAATAATAATAATAATAATAATAATAATAATAATAATAATAATAATAATAATAATAGTACAAATAAAACCAGTGCCTTACCCTATCAACCTTCATTATTTGGAATCGCTGAGAGATATCAGCTGTGTTGGCTGGCAATCGAGATCTTCCCGACACAAACCTCATGAAAAGGACTCTCTCCTCGTTTGAAAACTCTTCCAGGGTGTGCCAGAACCACTGCACCAGCTGATGCTGCTCATCAACTTCTCTGTATCGCACAACCTTCTTGAGAACCTCAACTGATATTTCTGGCATTCCACAGACCATTTGCTCCAACTGCTTGGCAGTCAGAAGGGACAGCAACGGAACGGGAACAATCCAGGACATTCCTTCCCTGACAGCAGCCACCTATTGGCCAAAAACGGGAAAGACGTTTGAAGTGCATTTRTCTTATCTCTGCCACCTCCTGGGCCACCCAAACACAAAAGTAACTTCTCAGCTGAGAAATGRCAGAGACAGAATTCCCAACATCTGCCAAACACAGCCTCCCACAYACGCAGCCCCTGCAAGAGCTGTATTGTTTCCCAAAATCCTGGAGAACATGACAGATATTTCAAATTGTAACTGCACATTACAGAACATGCTCTGATACAAAACAGAACTACTTAAAAAAATTGCAAGTTGGCAGCACAAATAATGATGGCTAAACCAAGAAACTGTGTAAATACAGAACAGGCTCTGTTCCAGCTGGGATGGTTGTATTGYCAGTGAGAATGCTGTACTTGTTCTGCAACACTTGGGATTTGGTACCTCTGATCAACAAGCTGCTTTCTAATGCAGATAATAACACACATGCATCTTTATCTTGTAATTAAAATACTGCTTTCACAAGGGTCATGATACAAAYGACAAAATACACAAAACTATGCAAATAGCTAACAGGCATTTCCCAAAACATACCATGAAATATTTGCAGGTTTTGTGTTATAACAAAGAGAAACAGTTTCAAGTTAAACCAATGTTTGTCAACAGGATTTACTTTAGCCAGTGTGTTGCTCACATGTCCCATTACAGTGCCCAGCATGCAAAATTGCAGGCGTTTTTCACAAGTGGGGCTACTCAAATGGAAGACCAGCTCTGATTTCTAATGCTCTTCTGCCAACTGAGCAAT